GTCCGGCAACATGCCAACATTCAGCTGGATAACCCAAGTGACTGTCCTTGATGAGCTGCTGCACCTTGGGAATGCGTGTGGAGCCGCCAACAAGCACGATCTCGTCGACCTGGTTCTTCTTGAGACCAGAATCCTCCAGCACCTGCTTCACGGGGCCAAGAGTGTTCTTGAAGAGATCGTTGTTCAGCTCCTGCCGCGTGACTTGATCCACGCAAACAAACAAACAAACGAACGAACAAACGGGCAAAGACAAACAGGCAAACTCGCAAACTGGCGAGCAAGCGAGCCGGCGAGCAGGCAGGGGCAGGCAGGGGCAGGCAGGGGCAGGCAGGCAAGCAGGCAGGCAAGCAGGCAGGCAGGCAGGCAGGCAGGCAGGCAGGCAGGCAGGCAGGCAGGCAGGCAGGCAGGCAGGCAGGCAGGCAAGCAAACACGCAAAAACAAACAAACTACAAACCAGCAAACCAACCAACAAACAAACAAACAAACAAAGGAACCAAAAGGAAAAGAAGCGAGAAGGCAGGCAGGCAGGCGGGCGTGCGCGCGGGCGGGCGGGCGGGCGGGCAGGCACACAAGCAAGCAAGCAAGCAAGCAAGCAAGCAAGCAAGCAAGCAAGCAAGCAAGCAAGCAAGCAAGCAAGCAAGCAAGCAAGCAAGCACAAACAAAGAAACAATCAAGACCCCGCTGCCACAAGCAAGAAGGCAACTGCGTCACTGGTAAGACATTCAAAATGCAGACTTGGCAATTAAGCTTCAGCATCCAACACCCCATGCCAGACGCAGAAATAGAAACAAGCACAGACAAGAAAAGACAGACACGGAGAGACGCAAACAGACACAGGAACGCATACAGCCACAAGCAGAGACAGACAGAAACGCGCAAAGACAAATGAAAAAGACAAAGACAACGTTGCATAACTGCGCAGCGTGTGCTCCCTTTTCCAATGGACAAGGGCACAAGCGGGGGGGACCTGCAAAGCAGCAGGTCAGCCCCAAGCAAAGCCCCAATGCAAGGTGCGCGATGCAAGGTTCACGAAGCGGGCCACCCGCTCTGTCACACCCTACCCTGTTTCACCAGGATTGGCTTCACAGCTTCGCAAAGCAATGTTTGCGGCCAGCGCAGGCGGACTGCACCGCCTATGAGACAGACCGAGAAAACATGGCAGGCAAGCAGGCAGGCAGGCAGGCAGGCAGGCAGGCAGCCAGGCAGGCAAGCAAACACGCAAAAACAAACGAACAAACCAACCAACCAACCAAAAAGACAACAACCAACCAACCAACCAAACAAACAAGCAAGCAAGCAAACAAACAAACAAACAAACAAACAAACAAACAAACAAACAAACAGCACGCACACACAACACACACAGCACACACACACAGCACAAACACACACAGCACACACACACCACACATAACACACACACACACATATGCATTCACCGGCCCACGCTCTGAAAGATACACACACACACACACACACACACACACACACACACACACACACGCACTCAAGCTAAGTGCCCAGCATCCACCTCATTACTAAGCATTTCCAGTCGACAAGCCTGGCCTCGAAGCGCGCGCGGGTAAGAGTCTCGGAGAAGTCGACGCCATCATAGAGGGCCTCAATCTCCAGTCGCGCCTGGTGCGTGGAGCTCAATGCGCGCTTTGTCTTCTCCACCTCGCGCCGCAGCTTCTGGATGGAGCGCTTGTCCACAGACATGTCCTTGCCATGCTTCTTCTGGAAGATCTTCATGAAGTGCTGCATGACTCGCTGATCGAAGTCCTCACCACCCAAGTGCGTATCACCGTTGGTGGCAACCACCTCGAACACGCCATTGTCGATGGTCAGGAGGGACACATCGAAGGTGCCACCGCCAAGGTCGTAGACCAGGATGTTCTTCTCGGTCTTCTTGTCAAGGCCATAAGCAATGGCAGCCGCAGTGGGCTCGTTGATGATTCGCAGCACATTCATACCTGAGATTGTGCCTGCATCCTTGGTGGACTGACGCTGAGCGTCGTTGAAGTATGCTGGGACAGTGACCACTGCATGCTTCACCTCCTTTCCCAGATAGTTCTCAGCGGTCTCCTGACGTTTGCGGTACCAGCACCAGGACACAACAAACATGCTTCAGAAACTGTGAATTCATAGCAATCGCTGCCTTGATGCGCGACTACATGCAAACGTGAAGTGTCCAGTCCTTCATCTTGGTAAGCACCATGGAGGAGACCTCCTCAGGAGCCATCACCTTCTCTTCACCCTTCACCTTCACGCTAATCATGGGCTTGCTGTTCTTGTCCACAATCTTGTAGGGCAGCAGCTTGATGTCCTTCTGCACTGTGGAGTCCTTAAAGCGGCGCCCAATCAGACGCTTCACGTCGAAAAGGGTCTGGGTGGGATTGATGGTGGCCTGATTCTTTGCAGCCTCCCCGATCAATCGCTCATCATCAGTGAAGGCGACGTAGGACGGTGTGATGCGGTTGCCTTCATGGCAAATGTTTGCAAGCATACTCAACAACAAGCGGACACGCACACACACACACACACACACACACTGAAGCAGACTCTCCACTGACACGCATGCGCGCGCGCACACACACACACACACACACACGCACGCACGCACGCACGCACGCACGCACGCACGCACGCACCCACACACACACACACACACACATGCACACGCACACGCACACGCACACGCACACGCACACGCACATGCACATGCACAGGACAGGCACATGCATGTGCACATGCCCTGACACAATCACAACCACAACACAATCACAATCAAACTCACACTCTCACTCACACAGTTAAGACAGAAACAAACATAGCTTTCCTTGTTGTCCCTAGTGGTGGCAATGCAGGACACACCACACTCTGAAAATGTTCTGGCAAATTGCCGTGCCTTGATCATTCGGGATGATTTCTACCCGCCCATTCTTGTAAATGCCAACGCAAGAATAGGTAGTCCCGAGGTCAATTCCGATCACGGGGCCGTCGATCTTCTTCTCATCATCCTTTGGGGCCATGCTTTTCTATGGAGCATGCTGATACGATGCGGCACTCACCAACTACGCCATGCCTTCTGAATCCTTCATCCTTCAACTGCCATCTCCATTTTGAAGCAGCCCCCAGTTTCCGGATCCCCATTCGAACAGGATTCCCTATATTTCCTCTTAAACAGTACCCCTAGCAAGGGACACTCACCTGAAATGGGCCAGAAACGTGATGTTTACAACCACCAAAAAGGGAAACATAGGGACCCATGCGTGTGTGTGAAGCCGTGCCCAGTCCTTGGCTGCCGCGAGGCCTGCTGTCGCCACCAGGACGGCGAGAAACGCCGCTCTCGACATGGCGCTCCAAAATCTGTGGGACGGTTCTCGTGCCGGATCTCCGGTTCGCATGTTGCACAACCTTCCGTCTTGCCTGACAAGGGCAAACGCCTGCCTTCAAGAGGGCATGTGAATGAAGGCTCACAAGAACAGGGTGAGCTCCTAAAGGGACATGAAGAAGCCTGTGCTTCAAAAGGTGAGGCCTAGAGATAGTTTGGCTGATGAGTTCCGAGCTTTTTGGGTTCCGATTTTGGCAAGTCTGTAGGACCTGCTTCAGTTGCAAGCTCTACAAGTAGTCCCGGCCTCAAAGGGTCCACAGGAACTTCAGAGGTTTTCACCACTGCCCACGGGCTCAAACACGGATTTGTTAAGGCGTTGACTCCCAACTGGGTTTGTCTCAGAAGAGGGAGTCCCACCTTTGGCTTCTTCTTCGCTTCCAAAAAAAAGGTGTCAGTACCCTCGAGGAACCACACCCGTCCAATTGGCCGGATGACACCAATGGCGGTTCCTGGCATGTAGCTGAGTGGGTTCTTCTGGATCTCAGCTCTTGGGTTCGATTCGTAACCCTCCTGCCATGCCTCGATGCCAAAGTTGTCTAGACGCCGAAACGTTGGTGACCATGCCCTAATCGACCCCATTCTTGTTCGTCCGTGTGTTATCTGGCTGGGTAAAAACGAAAAAATAAAACGTGGAAGCTCTCCACATGTCCTTCCCGCAGAGTGACCCCTCTGACTCCGGCCACCAAGCGAGGAGGGCCCTGGGGCTCCAGGCAGGCGGCCCCCTTTGGGGCCGCGTGGCCGCGTGGCCGCTGCGCGCGCCGAGGGCGGCATCGGCAGCTCGCTGAAGCACACTGTGACCAGTCATCTCTGGATGGTTTTCTGCTGTGCTACTTAAAAGGAATGCTGGAATGCTTCATGTCCTTTTCGAAAAGCCAAGGAACCCTAGAATGCCCCGATCTGTGCTAGGCACGCTTGGCTCTGCTTGACACTGGGGATTCTTTTCAACGCATCCCTTTCCACATTGAGCTTGGTTCACTGACGACCAAGCCACCTGTGCGGAAGGGTTTTGCACACACAGCCATGGCCTTGCATTTTTCTACGCTGCATGTGTGGTGCCACTCTCATAAACCGGCGGTTCTTGTGATGATCAGCCACTACGACCGACACAGGCTTTCTCAACGACCCAAACAGATTGCGCAAAGGTCCGTAAAATACAACAGCTCTCTGTGGCAGTTTTCCATGAGGGACACCGCAAATTCAGAATGATATCAAAGCTCTTTGCCTCCAAGAAAACCTATGCGGTTCAGGCGACCCAAGACGGCCCTTCGTTCGCCCCTCTGCGCTGTGATGTTGTTCGTTGTTCATCAGCGTTCTTCGTGCTCCTTGTCAGAGCTCATTCTGAGTCCAATTTGTTGATTGTGAGTGTTTGTTGTAGGCGTTCTCTTGCGTGTTTTTTGGGGTTTGCTGTGCATCCTCGTCATTGGCTGTGGGGCTGACACTCCCACGTCCGGAGCATCTGCGCAGACTTGGCTTGGGTTTGGGGCAAGTCCAGGGGCTTTCGTCTTGCACCGGGCTGACCCGCGTTGAAGGGAAACCCCAGGTCTTCCAAAAAAATGATAGGAAGCAAACGGCAGCTGCCGAAGCTGCGAGAAGCAACAGGGCGCACCAGAGCGGCCCAAAGCTTCCCGCACGCTCTGCTCGTAAGTGGCCGCAAAGGCCTGGGTGAAGAGGAAACGTTTCCTGATGGCAGCCCTAGAGGTTGCCACTCATACTCACACCTCAAAAAGTGAATCCTAGCAGGGGACCTTCATCATGGGTGAGCTCGCTTTACCCTCAAGGCGAGCTCATGTGCGTCTTTGACACCCATATAGTGACGACAGCCCATAGCACGCGGATCAAGCAAGTGGCCCAGGCGGCAACTATCTCAATGTCGCATAGGGTTGAGTGCAAGGCCGCATCAGGCAGCCCTACGTGCCGCTCTAAAATCAAAGACATTCACGGCTCGGCCCAGTACCAGATGCTTAGCATCCGCCTCCAGTGATTTGCCAAGATTTCTGGTTTTCTTTCCCGTTGATTTCCTACTGACGTACTCTCCCTCTCGCCTCTTGCCGGCTTGCGTTTTGATCTCCTGTGGAACTGGCTAGAAAGGGCACTCCTCTTGCACATCTCCAAGAGTGCAAGGTGGCAGGGGAGGTCTTTGATTTCTGGAGGACTTAGAGCAGAGGAGCAGCTTCAACGGCCTGCATTTTTCCTTTCGGGCCATTCTTGGGGCATAGCACCTCCCCCAACCGCGCTACGAAAGGGGAAACATCGTGCGAATGGGTTGTGGACTCTAAGACAAGTCAAGCCATGATATTGGGAGTACAATGTGCCTTGACCGCCCCCACTACCCCCCAAAAAAAACGCTTGGAACCTTCTTTTCATATGCTCTGGAAGCCCGCCTTCAAGTGCATGCGCCGCAGCGAGCTCTTCTCAAGCTCCAGGAAATCTGAGATCAGACGCTCACAGCAAGGCGCGGGATCTTGAACGTCTGGCAACAAGTTGTGGGCGTTCTACAAATGGGGAGCCATTTCGTGCACCGCACCAAAAGCGAGACCTGGTAGACCCAGCAATTAGAAGCCTAGCAAGCAAGCAGGACTTCAGCATCAGAAAAAAATGCCAGCAAAGACCAACATCACAACAGTTGAGAGTTGAGTAACGCAAGTGCTGCGAGAATAGTTAAAGTGCTCTGACGACGCATCAATCGCATCAACTTCACGCCGCACAACACCATCGGAGTCGTAGAACGCCATCGGACAACAATTCCTCACATCATACTAACCTGCCGACGTCAACATCTAGTCCTGCTGTCCGGTAGCCGAGGCGATTGCCGGGCTGGTCAATTGTTTGATGAAAGAGAGCTGAGCTTTTCAGCGCCTCGCGGTTCCTTTGAATCTCCCGCTCCCTCCAAGTGGGAATCAATCATCGCGCTCCGATCACCCGGATGCAAAGAGAAAGCACCAAGGCAAAGGCTCACGGAGACACATGGCTGGTGGCTCTTGCTTGTCATGCGGAAAGCTATCCAACGATTCAACTTGCCTTTCTTTGAGGAGTTGGCTTTTTGCAGAGTAAGAACAGCCTCCGTCCGGCAAGCTGAAGGCAACAGCCAGGCCAAAGATTCAAAATGCTTCAGGTTTCCTTTTGCAACGCCTCAACAGGGTCCCCTAAATCAGTCTCCGAGCTTCCATAGGCATAATCAACCTGGACGATTTCCACACCCTCAGGACCCCTCTAGAAAAACAGAGCGTTTATTGAGCTCGAGTCTGCTCTTCCCCGCCTCTCATCTTCTGCAGCTCATCCTTCTCAGAGGTGCTCAGAACCCTGTCCGCCACCTTGTCCAGGAAAGATTTGTAGACCTGCCGCGATCGGTTTGTCGGCGCGGAGACAGGGACGACTGGCACCCCAGCCGAGACCCAAGGTCCCGGCGGGTAATAAGGGAAAGACAGACAGACACAAACACAGACACAGAGACAGAGACACAGACAGACGCAGACACAGAGACAGACGCAGACATACACAAGAGAGACAGAGACAAACAAACACAAGCAGACAAGAAGAAAGACAGACAACACCGCCGCCAAAACAATGATTCTGTTGCTTGCGTCACTTCTGAACCAATGGGTGGGGTGGTTCGAAGATTCCTCTGCGCCAGTAGAACCAATGTTCGTTGATCTTGAGATCCTGCTGCGCTCATTGTCAAAGTAGGTCCAGTGACAAAATCCTTAAAACAAACACATGGTGTTCGCCAGAGTGTCAGTGCAATCAAGAATCAAGAGCTGTCCGGCTGGGATTACAAGATCGGTAAATTTGGGTTGTTCCCCTCGGCTGTAGACAATCAGTTTGGCGAGGGTGTGCATGTTTTCCCGTCATCCGACGAGGAAAAAAGATGAGGAGAGCTTCAAAAAGAATGTAGAAATGTCAGTCAAACAATTGTCTCAACCTTGCCACGGAACACCACTCGTGAGAGTGTTGGTGTCAGACCGTGTCTTCTGCTGCTGGCTCTCGCTTCACAAAAGCCAACCTCAAGATCAAATTCCGTGGTGGGTGGCACGTACGTAATGGCTTCATGTCTGCTTTCTCTCGGCAAGCATGGGGATCTCAGTATGTGAATACGGCAAAATATCCTCTTCAAGGCTTCAGGAGGCTCTGGCCATATGTTTGGCACTGAATTTTATGAAGATATAGTGTTATAGTATAAATTCCTTGATCCCCTTGTCAGGAGCCCTCAAAGAGGGGACCCCGCAACAAAGGAAGCCTATCAGCCCCTAATAGGCCTTACTAGTTGTCAATAGCGGGGGCCCTATTGGGGGCCCTTGACCATAGGACTTGAGTGTGTTAGCATATAACGTCACCTGGCCACTAAACCTACGGTTCGTTCCCTTCACATTGCATGTGGTTTGGCCAGTTTTGCAGCTGGTGTACTACAGGTGGAAAAACATGTCTACCAGGTTACCAATCAGACTGGGCTCCCTATATCTCCTTAAAGCAAACTCATCTCATAGCCTCAAAGGTGATGCTACCAAGGGGCAAGTGTAGCTCCGTCCGCAGATCCCCTCACAAGTCTGACTTACAAATGCCAAACCAACCAATGTGAGGACACGTCACACGTCCGATTTTTCGGCGCAAAGATCGACCTCGCCGCGCAGAAATCGATCGCCTCCAGGGCGGTATCCTCCACCGCGCTGAGCGGCAGCTGGAACTTCGCCATCTGGCATTTTCAGGGGTTCCCAGAATGGTCAAAAATATGCCAGACGACCGCAGGTTTTAGTCCATGTGTCCATTTGCCAGGGTTCCAGTTTGGGTACCTATGTTTGACCCGCAGCCAAAATGACTTTTGAGCCCCGGTGGTTTCCCTTGAAACTCCATCTACAGGGTGAGTTTGAGGATGTCACTTTCGTGGACCCAGCACGATGCTCCCTGTTTCCTTCAACTTGTCATTGTGTGTGGCTGGTTCACTTGAATGTGCGGGCAATTTCATGGCCACTTCATGAAACACCCCTTGGGATTCATGGCCCGCCCCAGTCTGAAACGATATTGGCACATGTTCTCTCACAGGTTGAGCCGCAAAGCGCGACACCCAGGCAGCTACGGCTCTAGAAGTGGGACCCTAAATACCCTCGATTCGCCAGTGGCCAGTTGTCGCTAAGCACCAAAGGCTTGTTCTGAGAAACTGGTGTAGGTCATTTTTTTTTGTCCAGGAATTGGACCGCAGGTCGGCCTCGGTTTCCACCGAGCTACCCGACTTTTGGACCCGCAACCGGCTCTCTCCCACGCTTCGCCTCGCCTGGTCGCTCACCTCCGGCTTCAGAGTGGCGAGCGGCGTCTTGGAGTCCTCGATTGTGCGATTCGTGACAACCCGCCTCACGAAGGTAAGTGGGATCTGGAGCTGTTGGGATGGGCTTAAGAGTCCTGATATATCCCAAAATCCACAGCGAGGTCGTGGTCAGGCCACGATGGCGCGGTGATCTCGGTTTCCTTCATGGAGGGCTGAGGCCGGGTTTCGGCGTTCGCCGGGATCGATGCGAACCCCCGAGGTTTGAACAGTTTATTTTATTTATGTGTTTATTGCTTATACATATATATATATATATGTGTCTGGCTTTTCCATGGAAGCGGCTCAGGTCCTGTAGATTCTCCATAACTTCCTATAACTCGCAATTATTGAAAGGATCCGCAGTTAAGAATGAGTCTGGACAAACTGACTCCTGACCATTTCTGCTGGTTCTGACAATCCCAGGAGCTAGCAATCACCTTCCTCCAAGGTTCCCTCCGAAGCCAAGGAATGGCTCCCCTCAGGGCGAACCTCTACAGCTTGAAACGGCTGGCAGTCGGTGTGTGTTGGACTGAAATGGGCACACGCTGTGATGGTCCTCGTGAGACAAGAGGGCACCCCTCTTTTGTTGGCTTTGAAAGGGAATCCCAGCCACCCAAGAAAAGCGGACGCACTCTTCAAACAGCCGACCCACAGCCTGGGCTTGCTTGATGCAAGACAGGTAGAGCTCCTTCAGCCTGGGCTGACCTGTGGACAACGCCCGGCCAAAATGATCAGGGCTTCCCTCCGATGATTAAGGGGGTTTAAGTCGAACATGCAATCCAAAAAGGAACCCGGAAGGTGATGGTGCAATCGTGCCTTTAAAATGTTGAGGACCACAGCAGCCTTTAGAGCTTAACGCTTGCCCCACAAACGAGTGCAACACTCGTGTCACTTGCTCGCGTCCCTAGCTGCAGGCTTCCATGGCGAAGTGCGCAAATATGTCCCTAACACCAGGGAAAAAATGTGCTCGCGATTATTCGCGTCGATAAACCAGCTTCACGACTACCAAGAAGAGCTTGTCTTTTGGTAGGAACTGTTTGGGGCTGTTTTAGAGGGAAACCGAAAGGAAAGCTGATTTTGATACATCCAAAATGTTTGGACCCGCTGTTGGATATCTTTTTGAAGGGGAAATCAACGGGAAACTCACCATTTCTGCACTGATCTGGAGGGGTCTTCTAGTTGAGCTGCAACAACCTTTCGTCTCTCTGAGTCTCTGTGCCCATGTCCTCCCAAATCAATGCTACACTGTAGCGGTAACCCTGCCACTTGCGTTCCATCCTGAGCTCCCGCACAGCTCTCAATCCTGGCGGCCTCTGTGTCTGCCTGCGCGCGTTGCTTTTCCAGCCTTTTGGTTCTTCACTTTGTGGCTGGCCTTGAGGCCCCTGCCAGGATTCGGAGAAGAGGAGACATGCCGCAGTGGCATATGTGGTTCACATGAATTTGCAGGACTGAACTTGCCAAGACACGCGCCGGCCACATTTGATGCCACCAATTGCAAAACGACCACGATCTCAAGATCTTCCCTCTCTTTTCAAAAAAACAACCACCAAAAAAAACTTCTGGACACGCGCTAAAAAAAACTTGAGCTGCCGGGATGCTTTGATTCCCATCGGCTGAAACAGACGCCCCGGGCCCCCCGTCGCCTCAGTGAGCTCCAGGATCCGGGCGAACTCCTCCGGCTTGGCCGCCTCCGGAGGTGCCTGCGAACGGAGGCGGCCGCTTGGGGCGGTCCTGTGCCTTGGTTGGGGAAAACCATGCGGTTAAAATAATAATGATAATAATAATCATGACAAATGATGATGATGATGATGATGATGATGATGATGATGATGATGATGATGATGATGATGATGATGATGATGATGATGATGATGATGATGATGATGATGATGATGATGATGATGATGATGATGATGATGATGATGATGATGATGATATATGATAATAAACATAATTAATAATAATGATAATAATAACAATAATAATAATAATAACAATAATAATAATAATAATCATAAAATAATGATAATGATAATAGTAATAATAATAATCATAATATTATAATAATGATAATGATAATAATAATAGTAGCAATAGTAATAACAATAATAATAATAGTAATAATAATGATAATGATGATAATAATTAATAATAGTAATAATCCTAATACTAATAATAAAAGGAAAAGTAAAAATAGTAACTAATAACAATAATATTAACAATAATAATAATAATAATAACGGGGGGAGAACGAGAAGCGTTCTTTTGATATTTTTTGGGTCTAGGGGGCCCTGAAATATGTCGAATTGGCGGGCTTGAAGTACTACCACCTTCGCGGGTTTGATAGTGGGTAGGTTTTTAACAAGAGGCATGTAAGAGAACCTGATTTTGGGGAAGCTGAATATTTTGATTTGGGGGAGCAGGCTCAAACTATTTTTTGGGGTATGTGTGTTTTGCTTTGTTGTTTAACTATTTTTGTTGGTTGTCCGTGGTGGGTGCTTGTCTTTATTCCAGCTGCTTTGTTTGCCACGCCCTTCTCTTGATTCCACATCCATTTTCCTATACTAGGGGGACATTAGATGCATTCGAGCTCGGCAGAGGTTGTGCCAGCATAGCAATTGCAATGTCCCTTTCAGGCTTGCCATCGCTGCAGTCTTGTCACGACCCGCGTTGAGCTCCCATATTGCCCCAAATCCCCAAGTCAAAGAGGACATCGTTCTTGCCCCCCCCCCCCTCGTTTGTTTTTTAGCCAAAGAAAACAATACTAAAATAAAATGGAAACTCAAATCGAAGAAATCACACAAGAAGCTCCAGCACTACTAAAAAATCAGGAAACGCAAGTTCACCAATACTAAATCAAAATGGAAACTCAAGTCAAAATATTCAAAGGAACTTCCAGAGATACTAAATCAAAATTAAAGTCAATGGAGACCCAGGAAAGGGAAAGCCTTTACTAATTCCAGGTGGACATTACGTCCGGCTTCACCTTGTGCTTCCTAAACCTCAGATCCGAACCTCATTCCTTCCAGCTCTCTGGGAAGGGACGAGCACAAGGCCTTGCCCTCCATCGCGCGCTCGAAGAAGATGCTGTAGAGCCTCGGAGAGGATCTCGGGTCCAGATTGACTCACAAGGAACATGTCAAGATATACAGGCAAACGACAAAGTCATGCCTAAGTCACTCCTTTGTCTCTGTGACCAACTGCAATGCCTCCCAAAAGCCTATCTCTTCAAACATGTTGAGTTCCTATGCGTTTTGAAAAAAGGCACGACTTCTTCGAAACCCTCTTCCCCATGGAATTTCAGCAACGCCTCAACCGGAGGCACGACTTTGTCAAATCCCTGTAGCTGCGGGCCAAAACCCTGCACCCCTGGTGACTATCACACTAGGTGGCAAATGGATGTTCATCCAACCCAAATTGGAGCCATAGGTTATGCCCCATGGCCATATAACTCACTCATATCATGTTACGTCCAATATAGCTCTGAAAAACCTCTTGCCTCCAGTCTGTAACCGGCTGATTTTAGGACATGGAAAACCGCCCAGTCTGTAATTTGATCTCTCACACTCGAAGCAGACAGCGAAAAAACCACGCGCCTGTGACATAGGGCTTGCAGGGTCATAAAGAATGAAGGGCTGGAACTGTTGCGGACTCCTTCTGGAAAAACAAAACTATCAGCAAACATGAGGGATTGCTTCAAGTCGACAGCAACCAACCCCGGCAGGCAGCCATCTATGGGGCGTGAAGATTCCTGGCATGTTCCAATACTTGGGGAAATATCTTGTGCCGGGGTTGGCTAAGTTTCGCCCCTCACCCAGCCCTAGGTGAGGCCTGCTGCACAGGGCCCTTCAGGGGCACAAGTGCCCCTTGGCAGCCTTGGTGTCCGGGCCGGCGCCCAGGCAGGGGGTCTGCGGTGAGCGTCAGGGAAGGGTCCTACGATGGCGAGGCAAGCCCCTGGACCAGTGGACACATGGACCCTGTTCGGCGTTGCTTTGCCTGGGCTCTAACCGGCTGAATTGATAAACTTGAACCAAGTGAAATGAGACACCCAATCTCAGCGGATGCAGGAAACAAAACACAGTAGACGCCGCGCACATCATTGCTGTAAGGCTGTAAGGGGTATAGGCACTTGGCGCCTTTTTGCAGAAGCTTCCTCCTTCCTTCTTTCCTTCCTTTCTTCCTTTCTTCCTTCCCTTTTTCCCTCTCTGCTGAAAAAGCGCCGGGTCACCTGCTGCTCAACTACCAACTGCACCAAGGGCAAACTGGGGGAGTGCTAAAACGACAACCATTTGCAGCCTGCTCGGAATGAAGTGGAACACCGAAAGATTTGCACGCACAACTGCTTTCGGCCAAGCTGCATAGGGCTCTTCTCAACCAAGCGGCCAAAAACACATGAGAGCTTCCCAAGCTGCCCAAAGTTGCCTCAAATGAACACGAACCGGAATGCTCACAGGCAAAGCCCCTTGTTCCTTTCGAGGAAGGCAAAGCATGTCTGTTGCAAGCACGCAACTACCCGACTAGCAGGACGGTCAGTAACATTCCGGTCCTTGACGGATTCTTTGACCTCCGCAGACTCCGCCGGATCCTCCTCAGTCAGATCCAGGAAAGCCCCAATTTTGCTTACTCGTATATTCATGAAACGTGTCAGAACCATCGTCGACGCATTATCAGCTATGCTTCAGGGTACCAGAACCTTGTGTGTGTGTGTGTGTGCGGGTGCGGGTGTGTGTGTGTGTGTGTGTGCTCAGGTGTTCCCAACATGTCCAAAGAGCAACACCCCTTGTCAACTGACAAAAACAGCGGTTACCCTCATGAAATAACTGAGAATCCACCTAAGCAGTGAGAAAGATGTGGGGGAACCACCTTCACTGGGGTGCAATGCATGTTGACAAAATCAGCTGAGCATCATTCCAAAAGAGCTTCCTGGAAGGAAAGGGCGTGCCTGTCTGGGTCTTGCCGCGTGTTCCAACTTTTCCGGGAGCTTCCGCCAGGCAATTCTCCCTGAAAGACTGGCCCTCCAAAAACCTGAGGGGCAATCACCATTGCCTCAGCATCAAGTCAGACGTTTGTGCCTAGGCCACCGCGCCAGCAAGTTGCTGAGGACCGGGTCAGACGTCTTCACAAATTCCACCATCTGGCAGCACTGACTTTCGGCAAGACGCATTTTTTTGCTTGCACGTGCGAGCTTCAAGGGGTCAGCTTTGTGGATTCAATGTGCTCATGCTCATTGCTAATGTACGCCTGTTTACAGGCTCTAGCGCCACCAGGACCCGCCTCATCCATGCGAGGCCAAGCCTTCTCCGGCTTGCTCCGGGACTCCTGGCAGCTACGCCAGACTCAGACCGAGGCTCTCACAGGATCCCCCAGCTGAACAAATCGGCCTGGGCGGGCTGCAAACAACAAGTGCACCTCTCACGTGGAACTTCCCTCTCGCAGCATGCTTCATTCTGTGGAAAGTATTTCAGCGTTGTTCTGGGAAAATGGTTGCTCCAATTCCTGGTCACCCCCGAAGGAACGCTAAGAACAACAAGCAGAACTGCTTGTTTGGGGGTGGGGGTGTACGGATGCCCTCAATTGTTTTATGCTGGCGCTCCAGCATCATGATGAACCAAGTCCTGTGCAAGCTATGATGGCCCCCGAAATGAACATATTCAAGCTACGTTTGTTGTACATCAGCATCAACTTTATGTGTTTGTTTATCTCAAAGAAGGGACAAACAACATCGCTCCCGCACAACGTGCAACATGCGGATGTTGATATTTCAGCCCCCCTTGCAGCTGTACCTCCCATAAGTCCAGTCTGCGCCGACACAGTGGCTGCGCAGGGGAGCCCAACACTGCCAAACTCCCGGCGTCCCAATCTCCATGTTGGAGAGGGAACTTTTTGGGGGAACACCCCAACACATGTGCCTTATGCGACGACCCACGCCTTGCAGGCGGTGTTGTACATGGCGCGCAGCCGGTCCACCAACTCCTAGGCTCACGATTCTCGGGTTCCATGCCAAGCCCAAGGCTGGCTTTTGCTCCAAGTCTACTTGAACTTTCATCCACTTGACATTAACATCTGCACAAAAAATCACATGATTGGCCACTCTGAAATAAGGCAACAACCAGAAAGGAAGCTTCACCACTTCTAGTTACCATCCTCACAGACTCCAGAACAATGCCACAAGGGCCGACCGCGTTGTGGACGCTTGACCGTCCCGCAGCTGCCATTTCAGCCTTCAATCTATGTAAACATGTCATTCAATGGCCAAGTGCGCCTGATGTGAAATCCTTGCCCTCTAGCTTCCGCATGAATTGCAGGCGGTGCCTTAGATAGATCTTCCGCCAGAAAGCGGTTTTTTCAACCCGAAGCTTCCACTTTGGAACCCGAACTCATGCCAATGAACTGCAATTGGGTTGGCAGTGCTCCGGCCATTTTACCCCGAGATCACCCTGCGCGGTTGCACAATGCGAGCGGCTTCCGTCCTGTCTTACACGGTAGTACTTGGAAGAGCTCGCTGGGTCGTCCTGACTCGTGCCGCAGCCGCCGGGAGTGAGTGGCAAAGCCATGGGGCATAGAGGCGGGCAGGCTCGGAAAGATTGATTTGCCAAACTCCCCACAAAATAAGGAAGACATGAGGCCTCAATCAGACTGTTGCCCCAACGCGAAAAGTGCGGCAAGCAACACAAATAATTCAAGACTATAATGTACGGTATACGAACTGACAAGCATTGCTTGAGAATCGTGAGTGGACATGCCAAAAAGCGACAATGGGCAACAACGGGCATCAAGAGCAGCCTTTTTGCGACCTGAGCCGCGATTCGGTTGCCTGTATACCCACTTCGGAGCGACGTAGCAACTGTCTTCCGAGTCTTCCGGTTCTTCATCAACACAGTGCGTGTGGGCTCAAGTTCATGCAGGCTGCAGACACTGATTACGCGTCTGCGGACCATTTCAGGTCAATTACAAAAGGTGCTGGCTGCAGAGTGGCGTTCGCTTTTGGCAAAAAGTGGCTTTGTGGCGTCTTCCCTGTATGCCAACCTCTCTCGAAGCCAAGCACAAATACAGTTGACTACGGATGCAGCCCGGCGTTGTGTCACGGCAAACTGAGGTCCCAGATCGAATAATATCCTCTCTCAGGCTCAGGGCATGCGTTTCGCTCGTGTGGCAGGGACCGGCCGTGCTGGTGATATTAATGAAAAAAGCGGGCGCAATTTGGTACATTGTGGTCAGACTGCCTGTGCAGCCGGTGCACTTATGTGTCTCATTAGCATTGATCCAAGCTTGACAAAGACCAGTCCGCTGAATATTCCTGCAGAGCTGGCTCGATCAAATGCAGCCGTTCCTGAAGGTTTGCCTGCGGCCGGGCAGCAGTCACTAAATGAATGGCACCTGCATTACCTGCCTGCAATATTTGGGGAATCCAAGTGGCAGGTGACAGTTGAAACTTTAACAGCCACTAGTCAATATGATTCAAACCAGGCGGAGCTTGATCGCCTATCCATTCTAAAGCCTCACAGCGCCTTGGAAAGGAACTCCAGCCCGAGCAAATGCCTCGATTCTACCCAAATAGATCTGGGCCATTTCATAAACGGCTCATTGCAGATTCAGGTTTGCCCAATGCACACCTTCAGAGCTTTGCAACCGTCAACCAAAGGCTCAAAAGCACTACGCTCAACCTTCAATCAATGGGCGCTTGCTTGCTTAGGAATGACATCACGGAGCCACCCAAAGGTACCCGAGCTGAGTTCCCTCTAGGGGAACTTGCTGGCCGCGGGATCAGAACGGCAGAATCGTGCGTATCCGTTTACGAGGGTCGCAATCCCCTTTTGCAGGGACAATCAACAAACAGGAGTTTCGCGCTTGAAGGTCCACCTCAAGAGTGGGAGGTTGTCACTCTGGAACGCACTCATATCCCTATCCCCCCGCACTCGGGAAAACGGTCCTAGTGCGATCCGCGCGATCCGCGCGATCCACGAGATCCGCGCGATCGATCCCCGAGCCTGGGTGCCAGCCCAGGACTGCTTGCCGCCGGTGATGTTCTGGCGGATCTCGTAGAGCTCCCGCATCTTCTTGCGCAGGCGCTTCATGCTGGGGTGGTTCACCGGATCCCACTTCTCCATGGACTCCTGCTCGAGACCGAGAGCACGAGAGCTTGCAACATATGGGGGGGATCAGGAGATCTGAAAGATGACAAAGGAAAAAAAAGGACACAATTGAATCATTTGTATGTTCTGAGCTAAATGATTGCCGGAGGCTTACAAGAAAAACACTGGGCCTTATTTGGAATCAAGTAGAAACCACCCAATTAACTTTCAGCCATCTAGGTGAGGGGTGGTACCAGAAAGCGAGCACCAGTCAGGAAGTATTCAGGGCCGGCCAATGCATCCCTTTCCGCGATGTCAAAACTGAACGCCGCGAAGGATTTACTCAACAAGGATCTGTCAAATGCACCAGCGAAGTCCTCTCAACAGCTCCATTCACAAAGCTGGAACATGCAGTCACATCAGCCCCCTTCTTCCTGCCCCCATCCCCCAAAAAAGTGCATCTTGTAGTTCGGCTGGAGCGCTGCGGGCAGGAGCGCCCCCAATTCCGATCGAAGCCAAGCTCCAGACAACTTTCTTCATGCACCCATTCTTTTACATTCAAGGCCATGTCTGATGTTCGCGAACCATGCCCCTGTCCACTGAAATGGCAATTGAGGATGGCGAAATGGAAACCCGCCCTCCTTGCAACCAGAACCTTTTCATGTTCCGCCCTTGTTGGATGCCTGAACCCTCAGATTGTTCAGGAACAAACATGTGCTGGCCCTTTTTTCTCAGCCTCCCCTCATGAACCCCGACAAAAGCACAGTACGCCTTTGGTCCCTTTTTGGTCCCTTGCAACCCCAACAAAGCCAGACCCCCCCCCCACTACAAGAAGGAGTTTGCAAAATCAACCCTGTCTCCATCATGGCCCCCCGTTTCCCCGTTTCCCCCCGGTGTTTTCCTTCCCCGTCCTCCACAGCCTCAAGGCGGCGGTCGCCGATGCGGACGGTCCTGTCGTAGGTGAGGGGTGGGAAGCCCGGGATCAGCAGCCCGTTCTCCTTGATGTCCGCCTCCGCGAGCAGCAGACCTGGCAGACCCGCTGGGCCGTGCAGGGCCGACCTTCGGTTGCATGGATCTGAAGTTTTGGAGCAGGGACCCGGTGGACCTCGTTTGGGGGATTTGTTGAAGGCCTTTGGCAGAATCTCTCTTAAAAACTAGGTGCCATCATGGCGGGTTGTTTCTGGAAACCATGCGTGCATGCTCGCACGAAATCCAGGAGGGGGTTTGACTGCGAACTCCGATGCAATCGCCTTGATTTGTCACCTCAGCAAGATAGCACGGAAGGAGCAAAACGGACCTTGTTTGCCCGGTATGGCTGAGGTGTTGCAGGGCTGCCTTCATTTTCTTTTCAAGCAGCACCCCACCAGGAACCTGATGCGTAAAACCACCAGGAGGAAATATGGCTATGAATTTCAATGGGGAACCCCCACGTTGGATAGACGGATAGACCTCTCTACAGACTTCCTCCACGTTTAACTCTTATCACTCACCCCTCCCAGCCCCACCCTGATCGCTCACCCATGTGGCTCTGGTTCTTTGTTCGAGTTTCTCTGTTTTGGGTCACATGCTTCAGGGTTTGTCTTACACCCGCCCCGTATTTCCTGATTCTACTGCTGTTTCCTTTTTCAGTCCACTTGTGGTTCCCCACCCTGAAAAACGAACCCGAACCGGGTCCTTGCCTTGGTAGGTGCCCGCGAAGGTGACCCGCAGCTGCTTGTCCGCGCCATCCCCGTCCTCGCTCTCCAGCCAATTGCAGTGCACTGCGAAGCCGCTCATCGCGTGCGAGCACAGCTTGATGAACTCCACCTCGCGGCCTCGCGCTGAGTTCAGCTGACGAAAGCTAACCACTTGTCTGACCAATGACCATTTGGAGGGGGTGTTGGCAATGCTTACTGTATGTATACACATATTCATATATACAGATTATATACATATATAGTCATAAAGCATAGTTTCTCCAAACCGGCTGGAATTCTAGGAATTAACCATTTCAAGAATACGAAAGCAACACCATGACAGGGGGGGCTCTTTTTGCAAGCTTCTGGAGACGAGTGTGGCATACCTCCAAGAGGAAACCTACACTCTCAGGGGGCTTTATCATTTGTTCCAATAAGGTACTCAAAAAACAACAACCCTGCAACATGACACCGATTCGGAGATGTCAGCTAGGCTTGACACATTCCCAAACATTGCGATCAATCCTGAACCATGGTGAATCACGTGGTTTCCTAGTTTGCTTGGCAAAAGCAACATGACAAAGGGGGGTCGACGGAAGGGGACCCTGGGCAAAAGAACAGGAAGTGGGGCAACGAGTTGTTTTCATGCATCTTCGGTGTTGCCCCCTATGAAAACCAGGGCACGTTGGCGCGTTGATGACTCTCGTGTCCAGCAAGGGCACATCTGGCTAAGACTTGCCCCAACTCAGCCTGTGAAAAGGCCCGCCACGAGAAGCCTTACGACCGCTCCAACTTCCGAGCGAATGGTCCAAAGTAAAACAAGCAACGGGGGATGTTGTCTGTATCAAGTTCTCAAAGGGTCAAATCAAGCTAGGAGTACTTATTTAAACCACCAGGGACCGCAGGTTTCAGTGCCTAGCACCACGCTGTAGGTCTCGTTGAAGACGATGTTCCGCGTGACCTGCGTCAGGCTCTCCCCCTCCCCGCAGGAGATGGCGATCTGCACAGGTCCGGATCCCCCAGATTTTCGGATTTTCGGATCCCCGGATCCGGCCGGATGGAGGCAGAGGGAGGAAAGGCCCCAGCTGGCATGAGAGGTTCTCCAAGACTCCCTGTTGGGTCAACTGCCCCGAGAGCTTTTTGAGGGGTTTTCCCGTGGGGTAATTTGGATGCCACTCTAATGGGCTTGGACAAGACGAGACGAGTCCGCGCGCCCTTGGCCCCCTGGCCAGCCAGAAAAAACACCAACCACCAGCTGCCAGCTGGCCTGTTGATTGCTGACATGACTTCCAAAGCTGGAAGCTGAATGGCAGATCAATGGCAAATAAGGCCGGAGAGTCAAGTTTAGGGGCGTGAGCATGCGCTTAGAAGCTTAGCAAACAAAAGAGGCAAGCCATGCCTCTTTTTGCAAACTCATAGAGCAAGCTGATTTCGGCCAAAGCGTGCTCAAACAAAGGAGGAGTGCAATGTTCATTCGCTTCGATCTTTCGTAGTCAGCAATGTCGGCTGAACATAGCGCTGATTCTTGAAAGGCGTGATCATGAGCTCTTATCCGGTTGGCCTCAAGCAAGTTTTGAGCCCCTCTTGAGGCGGACTTTGACAACTTCGAGGCATACAGCACATGCAGCCTAGATTCTTCTTTGGGGGGAGATTTGGGACTCCATACACCTTTGTTTTGGGTGTGTCTCTTTTTAGGGGACCGCTCAAAATGCCCTTGGTTTCCCTCTAAAAACCACCAAGAGGGCGACCCTCAACAAAAAAAGGAGACGAGCCACCCGCGTCCAAGGTCCTCCCCTTCATTTCGCTCGAAGCGCGCGCCTGGGAGCCCCAGGTGGCGATCTGGGAGGCGGCGGAGACCAGACCCGTGGCGCTGGACCCGCAGAGCGTGGGCAGATTCAGCAGGTCCGGGCAATGGTTGATCAGCTGCTGCACAAAGGTGGCGATCCTTGGACCATTTCCCAGCGTCCCAGCTCTCCCGGGATCCCAAAAACGCGCTCCTTCAACAACCCCCCCCCCCGAAACCCCCCAAAAGATGCGTGTTTGGGGGTTCTGTACTGACTTCTCTTTGAAAGCAACCACCTTTGGTATCTGGGTTTGTCTTACAAGAGGGGAACCCCACAAAGGAAAGATGCAGACCCCAAATTATTTGTTTGCCCTTTTTAGTTTCCTTAAAAAACACACACACACACTAAGAAAGGGGTACCTTCAAAAACCGACGCACCCACGTGGGGGTTGATCAATCTTCTTGGCCCCAAAAATGACCATGGCGAACTTTGCCCATGTGAAAGTCCAATCCTTTGTTGTTGGTTTCCCTATTAGCCTTCCCATGTACCTCCTCCCAGCCTTTTCACCTGGAACCCTTCGAGCTTCGGGGAGTTCCGGCTTGGAGCATTTTCCTTTTGAAGGGGCCGTTGGGCTTCTTCGCTGTGTTGCCCTTACAAAATGCTTTCAGCTTGATGAGCTCTTCCCACCAGGTGCCGAACGTCGAGCGGTTATGTGAAAAGGGCGGGAGGGTCTCAGGGATCCGCATGGCCGGGCGGCTGGGTGATCCAGGCCACCGCTCCGGCGATGTCCATGGCGCAGGCCGCCTCCGGCACCCCGGTGAGGTAGCTGTAGGGCCCGAAGCGCACGTTCTTGTTGCACATGTTCAGGTTCACACCCTGAGAAAAACACACACGCAAAAACCAAACAAAAAACGCACCGTTTTTGGGGGCTGCGCAACACCCTGCAAAAAAGGGGGCAAAAAAGACTCGCCAGTTTCTCGGCTGCGCAATCTCATTTTGGAGACCTTGCGGCAATGGGAAGGCGGAAGGGGCCATGTCTCGCAATGAGGCACGCAGAAGAGAGCATGTTCAAACCCTTAGCAAAAGCCGCGTGTCCCTACCCAAATGCTGAATGCAACCACGACCCCAGTGCCCGAACCTTGCACCCAGCCCGCACCCGAGAGTCCCTTTCAGTCTGGCCCATCCAAAGGCTTGCCTCAAGGCCGGAGTCTGCCCCCTGACCAATTGGCACACCGTGGAACCGGGGGTCCGACCTCACAACTACCTAAAGTTCTCCGCTGGGACCCAAAAGTCATTTTGAGGGCCCCTCAAAATGCAGCCATTCAAAGGGCCCCCATCCTGCTGGATGAAGAACATTTCACAGAAAATGCAATCTGAGAGGAAGAAAACATCACTGAAAAACCATGAGGACGATCCCCTCACGTCCAACAGAATACGCACCCCGCTCCTACCGGGTCCATTAAAGCCCAACATAAACCCCTCCCACTGGGTTTATTAAAAGTGACACCCTCAAACTCACCCTCCAAAGGGTTCACCCCAGAGAATCTGCAAAATGCTCTCACTTCAAGAACACCCCCCCTCTCCTGCTGGATGAAGAAAATTGTGTCGTAGATGTTGTCCACAATGAAGCCTACATCCACGCCGCACTGCACCCCGGTGCCGCCGATGCCCGAGCCGATGAACAGGCGCCGCGCCGGGCCGGCCGTGTTGCCTCGAGACCGGCGCTGGGGCGGCCGCTGGTGGGGGCTTGGGCGGCGCACGGGCCGCAAGCGGAAAACCACATGGAGCATGCTCCTTTCCTTTGGGGCAGGAAGTTGGGCGCCTTCTGCAAATCCCCCTGACGACATCGGCGATCGGTGCAACTTACTTGGAGCCAGTTCTCCAAGACCAGTGAGCCAACCTGAGCCAACAGAAGCCGGAGCCAGCATAAGCCAACTGAATGCAATGGCAGCACGGCTGCTCTGCGACGTGACTTCCCAACCGCGCCCTTTGCTTGGTTGAAGCAATGTGGGCCTATGTGAGGATGCAAGAGCGCTGGAGCTCCTGAAACAACGCCTGGATTCCTCAATGAAACACATCAAGAGCTCTCGTTGCCTCTGTTCTGTTTGAAACACAGCTAAGCAGCTAAGCGACTCCACACATGCCCCCCATGTCCTCGTCCCTGTCCTTCCTCCAACCTCTTTTTCCTCCCAAAAGACCCACATGCGTCTGCCTCCCACTGGGGAACCCAGAATGGCTGCCAGCCCCGTTTAAGAGACGCCACATGGGTATGGGTCAATATTTAAACCACCAGGGGACCGCAGGTTTTAGTCCATGTTTCCATGTACCGGAGTTCCATTCTGGCTACATAGTTTTGACCCACGGCCACATCTCTCCCTGCGCTCCGAGGTGCCGATCTGCGAGATCTTGGGACCCTCGCAGCCGCCGAAGGGGCAGTACTGCTCCGCCTGCTTGAAGCCTGCTTGAAGCCGGAAAACCCTCGACCGAAGCCCAGCGAAGCCCATTTGCACAAACACATCCGAACCCAAAGACCAAAACATGGCGGAACCCGCCAGGATCTAAAGCGATTTTTATAGCATCTCAAGCCATTCACATGAGCAACAGCCAGACCTCTTGAAGGATAGACGGTTGCCGCCCTCACCAAATGATCCATCTGCTGTCAAATGACCACTACTCTGGACGCTTGGAAACCCTCGATGAAAACCTGGCGCATTTATCCGTAGTGCGCACCCAGAATGATTGATGCCTACAATCCGACATTCCTTTGGGTGCGGGAATCTTAATCACCCCATCAAGCCTTTAGACAAACCAAGAGCAGGATGGCAGTCCGAATACAATGGTTGAGAGTTCGCCAAGCATTCCAACCTGTCCCATGCATCTTTACACGAACAATTACACACACATACACACACCCAGCCACCCACCCACCCACCCACCCACCCGCCCGCCCGCCCGCCCGCCCGCCCCCCCGCATGTCTACCCGCCCACCCACCCGCCCACCACCAACCCAAGGGTGGTCCCAAACCCTTCAACTGAGAGATGGATGCTTTACGGTGCAGGGCTGGGGCTTTGAACAATGCTTGTGAGGGAGTCAACAAACCCGAATCTTGCAATAGCGAAAAGAAGGCAGCATATTCAGGGGTGCCGAATGGGGTGCTTGGAAAACCTAAGCCTGTGCCGTGTTTTCGGGAACACCAGTTCCAAGAGGTTTAAGGCTTGACAATCAAATGATCGGGTTGAGAAAGCCAGACCTGGGGCTCCCAGGTGCACCATGCTTCCATATCGCCCGCATGGGTCTGTCCTTTTTTGAGGGTACCCCTGGCGCCAAAAGGAAAACTTGGGGCTCCCCCCAAAAGGGACACGCCCACATCCCCTTCCCCCAAAAACTCTCAACAACTAAGTCTCCCTCAGCCATCTGAGTCTCCGGTCTCCCTCCGCTCCCTCGCCTGCCAGGGGAAACTCCTTGCAGCTGGTCATGGCCAGGCTTCCGCTGGCCGCGATCTCCCCAAGCGCCGACACGATGCCCGCCACGCCGGCACCGCACTCCGCACCTACCTTAGGTGCGCAGAGAGAGGCGTCTCTGCGCCAAAAGGCCACCAGACCCTGTGTGAGTTTCGTGAATTGCCGTTCAATGTCCAAGGTGCAGGGGAAGGGGGAAGGGGAAAACGGCCAAATTGCCTGGTTCAAAGCATCCTGGGCTTGAACACAAGTTGCAGGCCCATCCCACTTCAGATTCGCTCTTGCACAACTCGAACTCCAGCAAATGCACAGCGCATGAGCTCGATGGAAAACAGACTCGGGTTTTCGTGGCCACAAGGGGGTGCACGGCAAAGCAACAGCCAATATTCAGGGCCTATGGCATGTCCAACAGGTTCTCCTCCGACAACTTGCCCGTTCTCGCAACTAGATGCGGTTCCAATACAACCCCATCTGGCTGCGGGTCAAAAATAGGTACCCAAAATTCAACCCTGCTAAATGGAAATATGAACTAAAATCTGCGGTCCCCTGGTGGTTTCATTTTGACCCACAGCCAATATGTTCCTTCCGAGCCAGCTGAGCTCCGGGCGTTGGGCAGCACGTCGCAGCTGGACACTGCGGAGGACAGCCAAGTGGCCGCAGAGCCCACCATCTCCTGGAAAGGCGGGACCCACCCCCCAACAAAGGCAGAAAAAGAGGTGTGAACGGGCGGTGTGTGTTTTTGGTCCCACCCCAGGATACCCCAAACCAGAAGAAAACCTGGGAAAAAGAAGAAAAGGACTGGCTTTTCAAAAAGGGCAATGGCGGAAGCTGACGGAAAAGAAATATCAACCAGAGGCATTTGGGGGTTCCAAAAACACAAACAATCCGTGGGCGCCGCTGGCCACATCTCAAGTTGGCTGCCGGAAGGAACGCAACAATGTCGATTCGTGGGCAAGTCTCCGCCAACGTCCCCGCGTTCGTGCTGCATGCGAAGGTGCCGATGTCGTTCCGGGGCTCTGGGCAGGTGCCTCGCGTGAGAAAAGCGAGAGCTCAGCTGCACAAAACAAGCGATGGCTACAAGCGTTGCCGCACTCAACCGTAGGTTCTGTCCATTCTGCCATGTGAGCAAAAAAAACTTCCCCGGCTTCACCCTTGACCGGTGTTCTCACCCAAGCCCAACACTTTGGGCGTTTCCCGGCTTGCTCCCTTTACTCCCGCCCATCTGCTTGAAAAACCAAGACCCTTTTCGCACTCTTCCAGCTTGGAACCCGATTCAACGCCGACGGCACGGATTAGGGACTCGATGTCGATGCCCGTGCCGCCGATGGAGTCCACGGTCTCCACCGCGTTGAACACGCAGAAGGCCTGCCGGAAGTTCTGGCTCTCCTGGCCCAGGAGAGCGCCCAAAAGAAGCCAAGACACCCACGACCAGCGGGATCTGGGAAAACCGTGGGAACACGTGGATAGGAAAACCTAAGGTTGTTCCAAGTATACAGGGAAACCAGATGATCGTGCTTGCCCAGCGTCGGCGTGCAGCTTTGATTGGAAACAACTGCTGTTGATTGCAATGTGGTCGACAAGTGTCACTGGTTCTCAGTGGCTACTTAGTGCTCAGCTAAATTTACATCACTAGTTCTTCTCAACTAAACAGCAGCGGTGCAAACGTGGCCGTTGAGACAAGAGACGTGCCTAGGCCTAGTTGGACTTCTCAAAATACAGGAGAACAGGATGCCACGTGATGACAACGACAAAAAATAATTTGGATCTTCGCCAAGAAACAAAGACGGCACCCCTCGGACATATTACATATGGCCTTTCTTTCCTTCCTTCCTTCCTTCCTTCCTTCCTTCCTCCCTTCCTTCCCTTCCTTGCAAGCCAAACAAAATGTTTGTCGCCTTGACTCGTCAACGTTCAAAGAGCGTGACTGCAAATCGACCTCCCGAACAGACTCGTGCGAACAACTCCTTCAAACTGACCAAACGCTGCGTCTACACCTGAGAAACCTGTAAGAGGTTAAACTTTAACGTGACATGCGATTTGTTGGCGCTGCAACTTGACCAATGCTACAGGGAGAGCCTCACCGGCTTAACCAAGCCGCGTTGGAGCAGGTGCATGGCTTCTCACAGTCTTAAAGATTGATGGCGATCATCCAGTATGCTTCCAGTTGATGAGTGAATGCGGTGGGGTCGGCCAACTGGCATGATGTGACGCGTTCCTGTGCAGTTGAAAGTCCCACCACTAACGCAGCCACACACTACGGACTTGGCTCGGACACTTTGAGAATCCCAATGTGTACCATCACAATCAGGTCAACTATTTTCAAGTTCACGCCAGCTCAACAAATGATCAAGCTATGGAGAGTCGGTCACAAGTGCCGGTTGCAGCTCATAGCCAGGCGACCTACTCCCCCCACCCCCCCCGCTCCCCAAGGCAAAACCTGCGCCTGCCCCTCAAAATCTTGGGGGCCCCTCCGCTCGGCGCGATCAAAAAAAGGGCCTTCCTGAAAGAAGATCCCTGTGCAAATGAGGATTCTGGGGGGCCATACAAGATGTTGACTGGCCAGAACAAGAATGAACATGTTGTTGGTATCTATTAAAATGACGACCTCCAAAACAAGTTTGTAGTTTGCAACTTGAGGCAGAACACGTGGCCCACCCCTTGATTGTCCTTCAGCTTGTACTCCCCGCGGTTCTCCAGCTCGTTCTCCTTGCGCGCCACCTTGTCCAGGGCCTGGCAACCGCTGCCAGAGCCGAGTTGCCGCCAAAAGTGAAGAATCCCCTCGTGGATGGGACAGCCCCCCCCAAAAAAAAAAACGGGGGTTCATCATTCCGGCTCTGAAATTCAGAAGGCCAGAAAGCCAGCAGATGTAGGCTGGTTTCGGATTACTTGACGTTCCAGGCAGGCCGAGGGCACTTGGCCAATCTCCTGTGAGGAAGGCGTCCACCAGTCCTTCTTGACAAACCTAGTTGGCTTCCTGGGTTAACCGCTCCTTTCACAAGGTAAACACTGTCCCAGCCGGCACCATCCGCCTCGGCTTTTTTAGCTTCCAGTGCCAACTTCTCGTTCTGGAAGAATTGGCCTGAAGACACCTCAGGCAGACAGATCATGCTCCAAAACCGTCCCTCAAAGCAGAGAGATCGCTAGACTCTTGCCAAGCTCTTTCCTCAAAAATGGCTGACTTCCCATTTCAGAACACCGAAAAAGAAACATCGGGTTGTCTTCACCGTCTAACACCCCAACCATGGATCTGTCTACTCCAAAAGCCACACATGCCAACCTCTCATAGATCTAAGAACCCTTTTCACCCGCACAACATTTGTTGTTGCCCTATTTTGTGATGATATGGGCTTCTGATGGAAGCTTTGTGCAACTTGCGACATCTCTGAGGTATGACCTGGCTTAGGACGGTGGGACGCTTTTTTGCAACGAGCGGCCAGCCATGTGCTTGCTGCGTATTGTGCCATTTTCGAGGCAAGACCAGCAGAGCACATTTCTTACCCGTTGAGGTGCACGGGTGCCTGTGTGCGTGTGTCAGAAAATAGAGCGCTTGCAAATCAGTTGATAAACACCCACAAGTACACAGCCCCGTGAGTCGTATTCATCCGGACGGGCAAAACCAAAACTGCTCACATGCGAAGCCAGCGATAAATGCGTGGAAGGCAAGTCCACCCTGACATATGTAAGTTGTCCTACTTGCCCATTACAGACTCACATTCCACCCTCACTTGCAAAACGCAGCGAATAGCTCGTCATCGAACCCATGTTCCCAAACAAGCCCACTCTCTCGTGCCCGCAAGTCATTGCCTGCTAGCCTGTGTGTTTCCCTTGTTCCAACACGAGGGCCGTTTTTGTTGAGGAACCTGTGTTGTCCTTCTCCGGAGAAGTACAACCTTTCAAACACCTCCTGAACCCAACACAGGACCGGAGCAAGGCGCTGAGTTGAGGTCCCGGAAGAGCGGGGGTAGCTTTCCCTCTTTCCGCTGCGCCGCCTGATGCAGCCTCTCCTCGCTGGCCTCGAGGCGGTTTTTGTTGGCTGCAGAGCCAGCCCGGGTGCACGGAAAAAAGAGTCAACAATCCCGGGTTGGGCGATTGAACCCCTTGGTTAAGCTATGGCTTGAACACTTTTGTAAAGCCGGGTCTGTCTCAAAATAGGGAACCCCGTTCAATGAAAATCACAAGGAAAAGCTTGGAATGGTTCTTTGGGTTTCCTTTGGCCGGCGTCAACCTAAGCAACACCCCCTGAAAGATGGGTGTGGGCTTGCCTTCTGAACTGAGCTACGAGCTATGCTGCAATGACTGTCGCCATTCCCTGTGTTTGTCAATAAACCCAATGTGACTGCAGCACACAAATAGGAAACCCGCCCGAACAGCGTGGTTGACCAAGTGCCAACCTCATAAGTTGGACTCTTTACAGTTGCGGTAAGAACTAGAAGGCAGGAGTTGCGCGCATGGCTAACAAGTACACCAGCAGGGAAAAAATTAAAGGCTGCCGTGTTATGTATTCCACAAGCTGCAACAGCGCGGCCCGCCCAGATCTGCAAAAACGAGGGACGCATGCCACGGGCTTCTCTGAGCAAGTTTCTCCAAGCAATTTGCTTTGCGCAAGTTCTCCGAACAAGTTTCTCTGCGCAACCTTCTTCATGCAAGTATGCGCAAGTTCTTTGCGTAAGCGAGGACCTTGTGCGCCAGACTTCGCGGAACCCTTCGCAATACACCTCTTGGGAGGCCCCAAGGCCCGCCTGCTTCATGGCGGAGGCCACCATCTTGTCCGCCTCTGCCCGCGAGTTCACCTCAGATCACATGGACGGAATTCCTTTGGGGCTGCCTCAGATTCAAGCAACGAGCATTTTCCTTTGGGACTTGGTGGACATCGTTGGCACGGATTTACGTCCACCCATCCATGAAAATTCACACATTCACGGCCGACTGTGCTTCCATTGCAAAGCAACCGATGAAAACAAGGGCCCCGAATCTTTTTGGAGATCCCCGTCATCTCTGTCAGGGAGCACCTGCGAACCGCCAACTCGCCTTCGCCTGATTTTTTTGCGTCGGGGGCCCGGGCGTGTTTCAGCCGCCCCGCCGCATCCTCGAGCTGCCTCGCCTCTGCCAGGTCGATGCCCGAGCTGGGGTTTGCCTCGGACGCACCAAGCCCCGGGCTTTGAGGTGTGGCAATGGAGTCCGGTCAGTTGTTGGTCGATTTGTTGGTTTGCTTGTGTGCGTGCTTCTTTGGCTGTGGTTGTTTGGTTGTCTGTTTTTGGGTTGTCTGTGTTTCTTTGGCTGTCCGTGTTTCTTCGGTTGTCTGAGTGTGTTTGGCTGTCTGAGTTTGTTTTGTTGTCTGTCTGTGTTTGTTTGGCTGTCTCTGTTGGTTTGGTTGTCTGCGTTTGTTTGGTTGTCTGGGTTTGTTTCGCTGTCTTTGTTGGTTTGGTTGTCTGCGTTTGTCTGATTGTCTGATTGTCTGTATTGGTTTGGTTGTTCGTGTTTGTTGGGTTGCCTGTGTTTGGTTGGTTCTCTGTGTTTCTTTGGTTGTCTGTGTTTGTGTGGTTGTCTTTGCTTGTTTGGTTGTCTGTGTTTATTTGGTTGTCTGAGTGTGTTTGGCTGTCTGTGTTTCTTTGGTTGTCTGTGTTTCTTTGGTTGTCTGTGCTTCTGGGCTTGTCCTTGATTGGTTGGTTGTGTTTGTTTGGTTGTCTGTGTTTGTTTGGTTGTTTACAGTTGCTTGGCTGTGTGCTTTCTTCTTTCTTTGCCGTTGGGTGCTTGTATCTGGTTGGTTGGTTGGTTGGTTGGTTGGTTGGTTGGTTGGTTGTGGTGGGGGGGGAAAGTGAAAACTTGAGACCCAAGCGCCAATACTTGAAGAACGCATCACACGTGCCATGTGTTTGCACTCGACACAACCATCTCAGCCTACTTTGCAAATAAAAAAAAAGACGGACTGCGTTGTCTGCGCCTCTGTCGTGGCTTTCTGGGGACCTGCACTGAGCGCCGGGCGCTGAAGAGGGCGGCCCTACGGCAGGGGTTGGCCATCAGAACCAGCGCCCCAAGCACCAGGAGCCCGGCCACGCCGCCCACCGCCTGCCAATGCGAGCCAATGCGCGATCCCCATTGATCGCAACGAGGGGGTCAAGTTTGGCAAAATAGACTCCGGGGGGGTGCGGATATTGTATTGGACCGCACCCTCAACTGCTGTGGGGCAACCTAGTAACCTGATGTTGGGATAAGACTCTGTGGACCGCACCCTCAGCTGAAGGGTACAAGGTGAGGACTGCGGCACGTTGCGGAAGCTCAAATCAACAGTGCCGCGACGTCCCTCTTTTTGCCTGCTTTATTACGCGGAAGACTCCCAGTGTCCAAGTGGCGAAGGGGGGCATGGCGGGCCAGGGGTTGGGGGACGGCAGCCCCCCCCAATGATGATCGCAAAAGTGATGTGGGGTTGAAGCTTGATACCCACGCATTTAGCACCACGCCCCAATATCCCCGAATACCAATATCTTTGTTCTGCTTTGCTTTTTTCGGGACCCGCCCCCGTCCCTCAGCTTCCAGAAAATGACGGGAAGCCAGGCGGCACCCCGGACCTGCTGAACTTTCCTGGAACTCGCTCCGAACCCTCCCGAATTCTCTGGGCCAAAGCCCAGGGCTATAGTTGGGGACAACACTCAGGGAACAAGTGGCCATCCCTTCCACTAATTGCAACCTCTAGCCGAAGCATCTTCCCCTGACACACCTATGAATATTTTGTGATCAATCAACTGCACATCATGCCAAGAAACGCTCACAGTTGGGGGGGAGAAAAAAAACGGTTGGAAAAGCGCCACATCACCACATTGCCTTCCAGTTCCATCTGGAGCTCTCCTGGACTGCTGGAGGAGCAATTTCCTCCTCGCTACCCTCCTCGACCTCCTGCGCGCCAAGAAAACAACGCCGACCAATGAGAGCCAATCTGCACGCCGTACACGACATCAGCATGGAACACGTCCTTTGGCAAGTCAACAAGAGGTGAGAAGCGGAGCTTCGGGAGGTCTCATCCCCTAACCTAGTGTGTATGTGGGCCATCGCCCGAAGTCCCCAAAGCCAGCAAAAGTCTGCTTGTGGGCTCAGGCGATCAAGCAAGATCGCCGGCTCCAACGTCCCCCCAGCCCGGTCCGCCAGCATTGTTGCCCGCGACTGGCCCTTGGCAGCGGCGGGCTTTTGCTCAGCCAAAGAACATTTCTAGCAGGAATTCCTACAGGAAATTAGATTCGCTTAGACTGGGCTCATCTCCGCCTCTGGGCTTGTCCAAGGCTTATCCAAGCTCAGAAATCATCATCGGGGTCTCAGAAGGGCTTGTCCAGAAACGGGGGATCGTGCCGTACCAGTGGACAAATCTCCAGGCAGCCAAAGTGGGCTTAAATTTGGCTTAGTTTGGCTTAAACAAAGCTTCAATGCCCCTCAAACATGCTTAAATCCTTCAAAAAGCAGCTTAGGCTAGATTCCCAAAACCTTTCCAATCTAACTTCCTGGAGAATGTCCTGGAGATTATTTCTTTGACTCGCCCACTCTGACAAGTGCATAATTGCTATGTGTCCCGCAAATTGGAGGACCCCTCCAAGTTGTTGGCTTCACTGCTTGTCTGCCTTTCCAAGGCACCGCTTCCGTCGGCAAAGCTCCATATGAAGACATGGCACCCGACCGCAACTCCTACAGCTTTTGCCTTTGCGTTGCGGCCAAACCCCCAGTGGCTGCGGAGTCGAGCAAATGCAGGTCGAAAGCGGAGCATGAGAAGCTGAGAAGTTCTGCCATCCACGAACATGGACCCGTCCTTTCAGTTGGACGTGGGAGATAGTCCCTTGAAGTTTGCTAGGGAATTGAAAAGCGGTCCCCCAATCTCCTCCCCACATCAACCAGAGACTATGTAAATGCACCATTGCCAGCTAACTGTTCCTTCCACTGCTCAGACATGATTCTGTCGGAAATCCAGAGGATCTGTTCATTGGCCATACCCTCTTAGTTGCTGTGCCAAGAAGAACTACAGATTTCGACCGTGAGGACGCGTGGCAACACCGAAAAGAGGAGCGAGAAAAGCGGAGGCGCAGCCTGGCATGGTGTTGGCACCACAAGCAACTCACCCAAAGTTGTGGCAAGTTTGTGAATACCTCGATGATGGCTACTGCAGCAAGGCTTGCTACTGTGTGTCAGGCCCAATTGTTTGCCTGCGAACGTTCTTTTCTTATGAGTTGAGGCCGAAACACAGCTTCCCAGTGGTGATTTGGGTACTGACCCCCCTAGTGCTTCAATGCCCATGACAAGTTGTACATGATGTGATTTGATCGACTTCACCAGCAAATCGAGCTGTTGAATTCTTCAAAACTGCTTCAGCTTCAGAGGGCGGGACACCCTGATTTGCAAAGGGGACTGAGCAGGTTACCAGCGGAAGCCGAATTTCGCTTCTGCTCACATTCTCGATTCGAATGGAAACGTCCAATCTCATTCGAACTGGTGATTTAAAAGCCGCGCTCGTATTTGACGTTGCTTAACTTCTGCGTCAAGACGTCAATTTTCTCGGGGAGCCAGGACCTTTGTGGGGTGCGCAGATTACCCTTAAGTCAGCTGCTGGGTTGACCAACTCCGGATTGGCATCGCATGCTTGACCCGGAGCAAACCTGAGATTTAAAAAACTAAAACAAATGTGACTTCCTTTCACAATGAGCAACCCAGGCAGTAGGGCGCCTGCGGTTCCCTTGGGCCCGCGTCTGCACTTCCCCCCAGTTCCGGCAGTTCTCCTCGTCCACGAAGGAAGGGTCCTCCTGCATCGACCGATGCCCGTCTTGAAAGGAGGACTTGGAGCACCAACCACACCCGAGACTACTCCGCGTTCATGTAAGGGGGACCACATTGGCACATTGTGGGTTTCCGAAACAGGCGTGCCATCAGCATCTAGCCTTAGCTTGCTTTGCTTCTGTCCGTGGCTAGGATTCGTGAATTGAGCGTTCACCGCTTCTCCCTGAACATTGTCAACAAAGCAACCACAAGCTCTGCCGAGTCACAGGCAGACTTCAGATTCTGAATCTGCGGTGCCCGGGCAGACGCCCGAAGACCATCCGTTTTTGACCCCCGATCAGCTTCCATGCTGGAGCAACGCCTTGTTGGCTAATGCAGTTCTGGTCTGGCAGCTTTGGTCCAAACCTTTTGCATCCCTCTGGCATTGCTCTCCAACTTCCATCTCCCCCCCCGTCCGGCCGCCTCCCTCTCCCCGGACGCTTTTCTCGGTCATTTGCCAAATCGAGGGCCCCATTCCTTTGAAGGCCCGGGTGCTTAACGGATCCCGCGCGATGCGGCAGTGAAACCCAGCCCTTCTCTCCCAGTCACCCTCCCCGTGCTGAGAAAAATTGCGGCATGCCGGTCGCAGGCTCTCCGCCCAGACCGTTCCAGGGAACAAGAACAGGGTGCTCCGTGAACTTATTTGATCCCATGCCGAAAATGAGGCCCAGCCTGAGACGCCGGGTGAGGCATTGTGGCTGGCATTGTGGCTTGGAAAACACATATTTCACTGAACCAAACCAGAGGCTTAAGCCTTTGCACGGCCACCCAGGAGGCTCTAGGAGGCTCTAGGAGGCTCTGGGGAGGGCGGGCTATGTTACGAGCGGCACATGCTGCGGCTTTCCTCTCGGCTGGACTCGACCCTCCAAGCGCACATTGTCGCGGGTGGGGTTTGGGATGCACTGCGTGGGCTCACCCTCAGCACACCTGAAGCAAAAAGGGAGGGGGCCAACACACTGGTCAGAGGGTGCAGCCGCAGCGTTTCAGACGCCGGTGCACTGGCAAACGCCCCTCATTCGCTCTCCGATTCTTCGTCCTGGCAGTCGGCAGTTGAAGTCTCAACATGCCAAAGAAAACTCAGCAGCTGGCTTCGAGTTTCTAAGCAGGACAGCTGAAGGGAAGCTTCGGTTCTACCCCTCACCCCCGCCTTGGCACTGCCCGGGCAAGACTCACTCATGAGACATGGTTGCCTTGGTCCGGATCAACAAGACAAAAAGCGCAGAGGGCGCAAGCAAGAAAGCAAGCAAAAGCAGGGGGGCAAGGCAAGGCAAGGAACCCCCCGCCTCCCACCTACCGAAACACCGTCTCCCTCGCTCCTGGCTGTGGTACCCAATCCCATCCTTCAGGCGCTGCAGCTCCTGCAGCCGGCTGCTTGCAAATTGCCCTTGGAAACGCTGCTAAGCATGCAGATGAGGGGAAAGGAAACCTCTGCCTGCTGAAGTGGCGTTTGACAATTTGACAATTGGCGAGGGACAGGCGCTGAATTATGAGACACGCTTCTTCACATGTGAGCGCTCAATGTAGACCAGGTGCTATGCTGCGGCCCTCACTAGCACATGAACGCACTATGCACGCCACTTGCTGAAATAACTTGCCCAAAGCTCGCCTTCATTCTGTCGCTCTTGATGCCGAAGCCGGCAGCTACGATGTCAATCACACCTGGGCACGCACGGCATCTGTCCATGTTCTTGGCCGTCGGTCAACATGGGCCCAATCCACAATTCGGGCCCTGTTCGCACTTAGGACTGGTAGTTCTGAGAAGTGTGCGCTTTGGCATGAGTGCGTCGTGCCCACCAAGTGGAAATCCTGACAAACATTGGCCCTTGGAGATGACGCAAGTTTAAGCTGCCGCCGACCACTGGATCAGATTGGAACCCAACCTGCTAGACAACACAAACGTCCGACCACTGATAAAAGAACGCACCCAAGAGCTCATTGCTGACTTTTTCTTCTTTACAAAGCACATGGCCTAGGTGGATGCTTTTGGATCAGATCTTTTCCGCGAGCATACAACTACGCGGCGCTCGCAGGGTGTGTGAAGTGGATGGGGCCTGTTTAACTGTTCAATCAAGACTTGCTGTTTCGTCCCTGCGACTCATCGGCCCGTCAGCCCATCGGCCCGTCGGGCGGCCCCACCGATGGCGATGCTGACGAAGCCCGTGGTGACGCCCAGCTTGCCGCAGTAGCCAATGTTCGCAAACATAGCCTGGACTATCCTGGCGTGTGGGTCCCTGAAACCAAAGCTTGGTTCTCATCCCAGGATTGGTCCTCTCAGTGGAATTCCATCAAGCCAAAGTGTGTGCTCGTTGTCAGCCCTCCGATTGCTCTGCAGCTGAAGTCATAAAAAGGCAAAAAGGAAGCACAACGCTCGGGTAACTCAGAGGCAACAATCCCTGCTGAGGCTCATGTCATGGTCTCTAAAAGAACACCGAAACGTATACGATGGGCTCCCAGTTGTTGAACGAATGCAACCCACATCAAGTCCGCGTGTAGCTTGAGCTGACCAATCTCACTGTGTTAAAGCGTATCAACAACAGTTTAAACATCCTTAGTGACACTTGGGTGATTGATCTCTCAGGAACTCAACTGTGATGGGGCCGAATTGGCAGCTGCAAGAACTACCATCTTCCAAGTGTGTCATGATCAGCACTCTGTCTTAGGGAGGTAGTCATGGTTTCGGTGACATCAGGTTTCCTATAGGAGGGCATGGTCACAACTCGCTTATATATTAGGAGCCACAGCACGCGGGCGGGAGGGCATGGCACCACGTGTTTGGCTGCAATTCGCCGCTCAGTGTTTTTTGTTTTTTCTGTCTTTTTCTCTCCCTTTTTTTTCTTCGGTAGAATTGCCCCGGGGTGCATGAGTACAATGCCACACCCGAATGTGAATGAATGATTGCACCTACTCATGGCTGCCTCCCTGATGACCAGTCCGCTTATCCCAAGCAGCTCCCAGGCTAGGCACAATAAAAACTCTGGAAGCTCATAGACTGTTGAGGAGCGGCTCCTTCCACATCCTACCCAGCCCCGTGTGGAATGCTCTGATTTACATATTGGCAAAAGCTATCCAAAATTACGTCCATTGAATCCAATGTTCGCGTCACGTTGCGCATGGGTGAAGTTGTAAAGGCTAGGGTGCTCATGCGCGAAATTTGACGCAATGCAGCTAAGAACATGTCAAGGTTTTGCCACACACGTCCTGGTTTTCAGTGTCAAATGGCGCCTCTGCCTATCTGAGCTTATAGCTTGCCAGGTTGACCTTTTGGCCCAAGTCAAAATTTACTGCCCGCCAAAGATTTAGGAGAGCGGCCGCTTCCAGTTGGAATGCCCCAGCCTACATTTACCCGAGCTGAGGTTCCCCACCTTTCACCAAGCCAGGGACCTCAATATCCTACATCTGCTTCTCAAGCGGTTTTGCCTTGGATACCCTTCTTGTTCCATTGATTCCCTGCTTTCGGCCTGATCCAGCCCAACTAACCCTTTTCCCTCTCGGCTGAGGCAGCGGCAAGAAAAAGCCATGCTGCACGAAGTTTCGCGGGAAGCCCACCACCTGCAAGGCTTGTACACTTTGCATTGCATATGACACCCTTCTGGTATATACATCGCTACATCTATACATCTACCCCCCCCTCCCCTCGCCGACTTCGGACTGCCGCGAAACAGCAATTGCAGCTGGTCACGTCACGAGGAAACGAGTAGAGAGAATAAAATTCAGTGCGGAAAGGTTTGCTCTGAGTCTGGGTAAAGTATAGCCCTGCAGCCCTGACACGGCACGAGCGCGTGCTCAAGCAGTTCCCTCCATGCAGTAAATAAGCCGTTTTTTGTTTAAGGCCATCAGGCTACCAATATACTCATAACCTGAAAGCCTGACAAAACGTCAAGAACCGCTTTTGCGAGAAGCAACTGACACTGCTCGTATGTTCAGTCCGTCCGAGCGCGGCCAGCCTGGCCTGCAGGACCATGGGGTTCACCATCATGGCGCCAGTCAGCCCAATCTGACCAGAACCCGTCCGGGAGGGAGGGTGGAGGGACTGGAGAAAACCGGGCGCTGCCAAGTGGCCTCTCAAAAATCCGGGTCCCTGAATGGTGTGCTTGCATTGCAAGATGGTACACCCAATCAAAATGGAAACTCCTCCTAAACAAACGGCGGCGAATCGCGGAGATCTACTACCTAACAATGCTCAGCTACGCCGCGCAATATTCATCGGCAAAATTCCTGATGCACTGCCAAAACTTCCGATTCCTCGAATGGCTCTGAGGCTGCGGCAAGAAAGGGCACCCACACCGGGATTCCCACCTCAGCGAATTCCCTTGAACTCTCCGCTTCGCTCACAAGGAGAGTGGCTTCTCACATGTGAGCGCTTTCAAAACCAAAACTCAAACCCAGTAGTTAGAAGGGTGGGGGGAACAGGAAAAGAAGCTCGAAATTAGCTCGCTGCGGGCAGACGAGCGCGTGCGCACCGACCTCCCCCCAGGACGCTTGGACCCTTGAGCGACATGTGGCATATGTTTGAAGGGGGGCCACACTCCCCTCTCGGCGTCTCCTCGGCGCCAGGCCATGCCCCAGTCATTGGCCCAGGTGCTGTTGCAGTCCACCCAATAAGTGTACCTCGAGGCCCGTTTGGCTGACAGGCCGGGGAGTTGGGGGCCGGGGAGGCACTCGAACATCGGACGTTGGGAGAGTGCCTTCAAGCAAACGCCCCACACCACAAATGATGCTCGCCGAAACAACAAAATGGGGATACCCATTTAATAAACCCCGCCGGAAATTTATTGGACCTGAGGACAATTCACCTAACAGCACCTTGCTAGCATCCAACCTTGTCAGAAGCATCGAAAGCCAAAGGCCCTGTCAACATATCCTGGCATGAATTGCAAAGTTGGCCTGAATTGCACGTGTATGCTGTACAATGCAAAGGGGTGCCGGCGACCATTGAAATTGGAAAGCGAGCTGTTCAAGCAACCCGCCCTGGTCTTCAATAGAGGGTTGCGTGATTACGTTTTCTCTTGCCGACAAACCATGAGCACAAAGACCAGTGTGGATCCCCAGAGAAACGGCCTGGTCAAGCCCAAGAACATCAAGAGCGGATGCGTCCGAGAGGTGGATTGCTGATAGTCCCCTTGTGTTTGACCACCCTTTCAGAGATGGGCCCTCCCAGAATATTCCGCCCTCTGGGTCACTCATCGGGGTCCTCAAAATAGCAGTCGTCGAACTTCAGATTGAAGGATGGAAAATGCCACTGGCGCGAGCGTTTCTGCGACCAACGGTTCGCCATGCGCCCCACGCAGCAAGCCCTGTGAAAAAAAAGAAGCATTGACTGGTTGACGCCCATGTGCGATGCCCAAGAATGCTTCGATTGAGCAATCTAAGCAAATCGACTTTTTAAATCGACGGATTACAAATGCAATTCAAGTCAATCAAGTCAATTTTGGCGCGATGGCATCGTCCCAAGAAGGCTGCTTAACCATCCCCATGTTCTGCAAATTCAGTGATTGGCACCAGCGAGCAGGTGCCACAGAACAACTGAGACACAGCGCATGCGATCCTCTCGATCCCATCAGCACTTTGCTTGCTTGGGACTCTGCTCAAAAGGCCGGAGCTATAGGGGACCTTAGGGTCAATTTCGAGCCTCTCGCCCGTTCTTGTCACTCCAGCTGGCATCCAAATTGCGGCGGCACCCTGGGGCCGACGGGGCAAAACAGGCCAGCGCCCACATACATGTAGATCAGGCCAATAATCACGGTCATCGCGGACGTCGCGGAGCTGGCATATGCCAATAGGTTGCCTGCACAGGGGACAAAGACCCCAGCCCGACAAATCTGCTACCCATGTTCAACCAGCTGTTGTGTTTCAGATGACCTGCGCGTGTGCCCTTTTGAATCTCTGACAAAAGCAGTAGGTGAATGGGACAACCCCAGAGAGGCACTATGCTGCCAGGCCCACAAGTAGCAGAGACAAAGCACGTAAAGAAACTATGATTGTTGCAATGGCAGGAGGGGTTGTCAAAATTAGGGGGCCATTGAAGAAAAAGGGGTTTGACAACACGGCAGAAAGACTGACCAACAAGCCATGCTGAACCGCCGAGTCTGCAAATCTGCGGGGTGTTTGTCTGCGGTCCATTGCGGCAGTTCAAATGTGTGAAACAGTCTAACAGTCAGTCCTGTGACAGAAGATTGCCTATTATCTGACGATTCTTCCGGCAACTCGTCCACCATTGTGACAGCGCCCATAGGCATTCTGAGTCATAGTTGGCCTGTATATTGACGCTACGGAGGAGCTAGGCTGTTGAAATTGTCCAGCTGGTTCAAGTTTTTATTCTTGAAGTTCAGAGCTGAAGCTTTTGGCTTGAAATCAGTCTGGGCGCCGGTGGTCAAACAAGGCAGGCAATGGGACACGACCCCAGGAGTACTACATCCTGGCTGGAGGGACGTCCCTGGAAATGGCACGAATCCATCATTTTTGCTGCGCCGGTGTCTGTCCCCCGCCCTATTGATGAATTGATATTCCGTCGGCCAACTGACAGCCTGTATCAACTGCAATATTGACCCTTAAACTTTTAAAACTGTAGGACTGGCTTCCCTTTGGCCTACTGTTGCAGACCAACTCAAACCGGGGGAGCCTGATTTCGACCGCATTCGACCCCGTCTTGATCCTCGACTCTCGCAAGTAAGGTCTGTCAACCATGGCATGTGGCCCGGCCCACAAACAACATGATCTGTTCCCCAAGAGGAGATTGGAAAATTAGGCGAGTATGGGAAATTTGCTCACATCTTCTGCAGAAACAAGGAACAAATATAAGCCCGGCCTATGTTCGCCATCGCGAGCAGGCCGGTTCTGGACCTCCGCCCACGAGCAACAGCAAGCTGCGGGGTGTTGAGGTTGGCTCCCCATCCGCGAGGTGAGCTTTCAACCCTAGGCTTGGCCTCCAATCAGAGGGCGCAACAGCAAGGGTGATTCATGGCCAAAGCACCACTAGCCACCCGCAAAACAAGGAGCTAGAATCACGCCCTAAACAACTACACTGTCCTCATCATGCGCCTTGGCAAGTCCAGGGGTCGTGCGTTGGATTCATCCTGAAGAGACCTTTGACTACCCAGCTCGGCGAGCCCTTACCAAAAACCCCGCCCCAGTGGACTGGGGCCAAACAAGCTCAGCTTCCCGGGGAAAACAAAAATGGAGAGAGCAGATAGGCGGGGAACATCGGCATGTGACAGGCTGAAGTGCCGTTGGGATTTGAGGCTAGCGTCACAAAACGGAAAGCCTGAAGCCCGTGACAACGCTTACACGGGAACCGACTCTTTGATGTAGGAAACCTGTTCAAAATACTCCTGCTGAATAAATACATCACTGTTGACATGAATCCTTACAGCTCCACCCAGCGTTGACTGTCCAATTTTTGATCTGCATGCTGTGCAGGCTAATCTGCGACTTGCCCGCAGCCCTCCCCAACTTCCCTGGCACGCCTTTGCACCCACAGCGTCCCCCGCTGGACTTTGCCAATCGGTGAACCAACAGCAGCGGTTTGAAGTGACGGCTGGCATCTTTTGTGGAATAATCCACCAAGCCGGCCAAGCAGTCAAGCAATTTGCTGTGAAGTCATGTTACGGGCATGGCATCGTCAACTGGGCAACGGGCGTGCCTGTCGAAAATTGCCAGAAAATAATTAGTTGGGCCCAAAAGGACGTCAGAGTCATGGTGAGGTCGCAGTGGCTGCTGATAAGAGCGCAACAAACACAGCTGTCAGTTGTGCTCCTTTGCAGTAGCCTACCCATAAAAGGAGCTTGTCCAGCAAGCAGGAGTCACCAAACTTATTTCACACTCGAGATACCGGATGACCCTTCCCTTTTTGCCATTGAAGACGACCTGACACGCTCGCAAAGGCTCGGCTGGTAAAAGTGGCCACCCCCCCCCCGAATGCCGTCCTTTGGGCGACAAGCGTACCCCATCTCCTCCCCCTCCCCCACCCCACCCCCCCCCCCACCCTCCACACCCCAGCCACTGCTTGCCCCGGCTTCGGAGCGTCGGAGGCTCCTCGCCGTACTCCACGGCCACCTTCCGGATCCGCTCCGCCGCCTCCTTCTTCGGGAGGTCCAGGACCTTTTTCGAGACCAGAGAGGCGGCAGGCGAATGATTTGGCCTGGTTGCTTTGTCAGGGCAACGGCCATATTTGGCTGCTCACAAAACCGGAATTCCAAAATGGAACCCTGGTAAGTGGAAACATGCAAAACCTGCGTAACCCCTCCTGCTCAATTTTTGAGCCACAGCCATATGAAGAGTTTAAAGCAGCTTCTACGCGGACTTTGGACAATGCAACAAGGTATGCTAACCATGCGAATAAGGCAGATAAACTGAGAACTGCACAGGTTATGTTGCATCTGTGGAGAAAACTCCTTTAGGCCATGAGAAGCCTTCTCTGGATCCGAGGTAGACAACGAGTCAACAAAGTCCTTCGTGCGAACGGCCGGCGCCCGGCGCCCGGCGCCCGGCGCCCGGCCTGGCAGAGCCGGCCCATCTCGTACCGCGCTGCCTCCTATGGCCGACTTGGAGGTCCAGCCCACTGCAGTTGGCTATGGGCGAGAACTCAACGCCATCCAGGTATGCACAACTAATAAATGAGACAGTGCAGAGTGGATCTGATGGTCATGTTGAAGTTGATGAATCAATGACATCAAGTCCGCCAAAGCGGCTGATCACGGTCCCCTGCAAACATGAATCCTTAGGTGGGTGCAAGTTCCGAAGGCTTGATGAGCATGGCTAGTTTCCGCAAGCAACCAGGAACTGGTCCTAGGCCCCCAGTTACGCATGTCGGACATCTCCCCAACAACGGCATACGCCGAAATCAGGTAGAAGAAGGAATGCGGCCTGATCTAAGGGGACCAGGTGGGGCTTGGCGGATGTCTAACTGCGGCGTCGTCTCTTTCTACGCATGAATCGCCTCCAGATACTGTTTGGCCTAGGTCAAGCGTGTGGTGTGCAGGGTGGAATCACCCTGCTGGGATGGTATGGCCTCACAACGAGAAGCCACATGGGCCGCCATACTCCGAAAGTCTGCAAAAGGCGATTGTCAATCTGTTGATCTGTTGTATGGTCCAAAATATTTATATAAGCTGTGGGCACGACGATAATTCCGCCAAAAGCGAAAACGTCGAGCCCAGCTCCCACGCCACGAACGGCAAGCGGCTCACGCGCTCCTGGGGGGTCTCCTCCGCAAAGATCCGCTGGGAGAGGTACAGCAGTTTGTCCGTGGCGATCTTCATGGGCTCGCCCTGAACAGCCCAAGAGCCAACTGGGCCGATGGACCAACGATCTGAGTAGTAAGAATGGGCTGAGTACTATTAAACCAAACTGCCTTGTGATCATAGGACAATGGTGTGTGTGTGTGTGTGTGTTCGTATTTAGCCCCTGGTACCATTGCGAGCTCAGGTTTAAGTCCAATGTTCGCGCTACCAATTCTCCACCCCTTTCCCTGTGGTCGCTCTCAGAAAAACTTCCCCCTTCACATTAGCGACCACCAAAATTGAAGACAAGCCTGAACATTCTTCCAATTCATCATAGCTAGTCACCACTGTACTCAAAAAAAAGGGGGCAAGCAAATCGACGGCGCCGACGGTGCCTCCAGCCCGGAGTAGCCGCGCGACACCAGCAGCTGCGCAGCATGCCTCCAAGGGGGGGGGGGGGTGAGGGGGCCGGGGAGGGAGGAATCCAAGCCTGGACAAGGTGTATAAACCGGGCTGTGTGTATATATATATATAGTCCTTTCCCCCTTTTAATACACGGACCCTATTAATAAATACTATTTTTCCCAGACCGCCGGGTTCCCAATACTACTTTTAGAATAGGCCAATTCAAAACCAATGCTAAACTCTCGGATTTCTCAGCCAGACCAGCCCCAGCCTTATTAGGGGGTGGGTAATTAGTTCGGGACCCAAGCTCCTTGCAACCCAATAATTAACAAGCTGAGGCAATTGTATGGTAATTAGACAGAGAGGCTTAACTGTCCTGCCTTGCCTTTGCGTTTCCCTGCCTAACCTGCCTCCCTCAGACCGTATTTGATAGATTTTAGGCCCGCTTCCAGGGATGAGTAAGACCCAAAAGGACCCTGTTAATAAATATGTTTCGCCCCGGAGGCTGATTTACTAATAGGGGGGAGGGGGTGCTTATTAGAGGGAAGGGATTGCGTATATATATATATATATATTTGTGTGTGTGTGCCTGCGCGTGCGCTTTGTCAAAACTATTAGCGGGGGGGGATAGGGGGGGGGGGATAGGAGGGGGGGGTAGGGGGGGGGGGGGGACGTTTTTGAAAGGAAACATCAGGAAAACAACACTTTGGAGGGTGGAGAATTCTCCAGATTCGACACATTCTCAACTGAACTGAACCCAAATCACCCGCATTGCTTGTTCAAACAATGGGAAAACTGTGTGAGTGCCAAAAAAACGAACTGAAGAAATCTCCGGACTTGTTGGACCAGCTAGTGTTGAAATAACTCTAAACATGTTGCCATGTCTGCATTTGGCCTGCGCAGTGTGCTGCTTCACTGGGATAGTCCCGAGACAACACACCAGCGCTCCGTTGCATGACGAAAAATTACTCCCCATTGAAGAAATGCACTTTGCGCACGACAGCAACAAGTCCCAAAACGGGCGCTGCAACACCAGCTGCAGAGCGACTCACGCAGCATCAGTTGCACAATCGAATGGAGCTCTATTCTCTTCACTTTTGAAAACAAGTGTGGCCACATGTGCAGCCTTTCTTTTGGAGATTTGCCTTGCCCAAAACATGGTCCTGGACGCCCAAATTGGGACTTTCACGCCGAAAAACGAGGAACTCCGGGGAAGCTAGCTCTATGTTGGAAGGGGCTCGCTTACTGACGTTGGTTTCAAGAAGTGCTCCGATGCTCCCAATTCAATACGCACCTCCCCCTTCAAGCCCGAACAACATGTGTCCCACCCGCGTGCACCTGTGCGCGTTGCCCGCGACGATGCCGTCCAGCTCCAGCACCTCCTACAAAAAAACAAAACAAAAAACTGACAGCGGTAAGCTAAAGAGCTGAGGCGCGCCAGGGCCCAAGACGATGTACATCTTAGGCTAAGGAACCTCCGACTGGTCTTTCCCGCTCCCAAAGAGTGCATGTTTTGCGAGCGGAGCTGGCGAATGATGCTTATCACAAAAACTCAAGCAGAGTGAGCAAATCAAACGTCGACATGCCAGACCTGAGCCATGGCTGTGCTCGTTCCCCACTCATGGCAATCTGGTGAGTGGGGCCCATGCTGTCCTTTAGACCAACAACTGCCTGAACAAAGACAAACATATATCAACACTTATTTCCAAACACTGTCAACAAAACCTCCTTTCGCCTGCCTCGAAGGTGCAACAATGCGCAGGGTAACAAATACTTGATTGGCCATAAACTCCATTTGGCACCGGGCTTAACACCCACATCTCGGGGCAATGTCTGCTCTGTGGGGGTTGTTGTTCTTGGTGTGCCAACGTCCGCTAGCCATGCCCAAAGGCCTCTTCCATACACCGACCCGGTCCTCATTCGTTGGTGGACATGAGGCAATGATCTCAAGACCAAACGCTGTGTCACTCGCTTAAAACAATCCCAAAGGCTCAATGCCCAGTTTGGTGCCGCACGTCAAAGGATAGACATGGTCCAAACTCTTAAGGAAATGCAAGTGCGTGGAAGCTCGTTTGAGCCCGAGCCAAGATCTTGCGCGTCAACCGGTCCGCTCACCCGGGCTCCGATAGGCAGTGTCACCAAAAACAATCGCGCCCGAAGGCCGAAACCCGTCCGGTCCTTGAGTCTCTGCAGCAGAGACAGCTCGTCGGGCTTGAATTCTGAAACTTCCACGAAACGGTTCAGCAGCCCCTGAAGGTGCACGCGCAAAGACTCCGCAGGCGAAACTTTTCGTAAAACAAAAGGCTTTCCTTCAAGTCCACCAAAATGCATTGTATGGCCCTTGTGGAGGGCCAAATCTTCGTGATCGTAGGATTCGAGCAGGAGCAATGAGGGCGTTCAACGTACTCGCACTTCTCAAAATCAAAACACTGGAATACATCCTCGATTGGGATTGATGCCATGCTGTGAGAGCTTGTCCAGGTCTGTTTTGGATCTGCTTTGCATGTGACACAAAGGCAAGCTTGCGCGCCAGACTGCCTGTTTTTGCTGGCTCATTCCTGCACTCATAGGAAAGGACGAAAAAAAGACACAACGATTGAGGGGGGCGCCTTGACTTGTCTATCTTCCACTTGCGCGAGAAGTCGAGTCCCAGCTTCCTCACAACTCCTGTCGCCTGGAAAGGTGACAGACCTGGAGGCATCCAGCACGTGTCCCAAAAGGAGAAGGCTTCAACAGGGCGGGGCGAAGACCAGCCGAGTTTTTGGCCTGAGACGTGTATGACATGTGGATGCAACAGTTGCATATGCGCAAAGGATTGAGTCGAATGCCTTCCTTCCAGCCACCCATGCCGAAACACGTCGATGTACGTCACCCCCGCGGGGGTCTAATTTGATTTTGTACATGCTCCGCCTCGTAAATCTCCTGCAAGGAGGTATTCTCCCAGGCTTCGCCTCAGAGGCCCCAGGATCTCAAGCGAAAAAACACGAGCGATGCGCTCCACAAAGTTCTTTGCTCCCGAAAGTATTTGAAGCTGAAGAGGTGCGGAGCAAGCACCGCAGGTCCTTTGATCGGAACGACTTCGGAATCGCCCTCTCTCCGTATCGTGGATAGCACGTCCTGGGTTTCTTGCAATTGTTCGCCGGTTCAGATTCTAGGGCCTTGATGTGTGCTCAGCCTTCAAACTTGCTAAGTCAGGCGCAAAAAGGCGGCGACAAAGAAAACACTTCTAAGACTTGCCCTGACATTCTTCCGCCAGTAATTCCCAGAGAGGAGAACTAAATTCTGCGATCCGAGAGCTTTCCCGCCCAGCGAAACGACATCCGAGCTGCTGCTGCGCTCGAGTGGCGGCACGCCAAAGCGCCTGCCCCCCCGCCCCCGAGTCCGAGTCTGCGAGGGATGGGAACAGGGGTAGCGGGTTGGTAACTCGAAGCTGAAAGTATTGCCATGACCCTCAGTGAAAGGGAGGATCCATAGACTTGGATTTTGCAAAAGACAGAGGTCCCCCAGAAGTGGAATTCTACACTCAGTGTCCCATAGAACATGGGGAATGATAAAGTGGGTTAACAGTGAACACCCCTGCACACACAAGATGAAGCGGTCTTTTGGGCAAATGGAATCCTGGGGCCTGGGCAACGTTGATCTCTCTTTGAGACCACCGTGGCAACATTACCCACCTGCCAAAATGACTTGTGTTTGACGGAACCATCAGTACAAAGGCTGTCCTGCTTCGATGTGTGGCTCATCAAAACTTGACCCAAAGCTTGTTGAACCGACCCGCCGCATTTCCGCGCCTTCGTGCCCTGGAGATCAGGTCTCGCAGCTCGTCTGCGGGCATGTCCTGACGGTCTAGGACTCCAAGCCATCGGTCCATCGGTGGCAAAGTCGGAGCTCCGCAACTCAGCCCTTTGATTCCAGGTGTGAAGGCTCGAACGTTTTCTTGGCTGAATTGCCAACTCTTCTGCTCCCATGATCATGACTTGCCTTGCTTTCAAAGTACCGGGCCCCACCCCGTTCGATTTCTTCAGGCCCTGTGGTTGGATGCGAGACACGAGCCCAAACCGCAGTCCTCCCCCAGGTGCTGTGAGAGCAATCGGGCTACTGCGGAGGCTGCGGCATCCTGCCAGCGGCGAAGGGTTCTGAGGGCAGCGCTTGCTTGTGGCTTTAAAGACAAGGAAAACCCACGTTCTAGCGGATCCCTCAAAGCAAAACACCCCCAAATGGTGGACACCCTTTTCGGGCGGTAAAGGCCTTGAAAGGACATAACCCATTTTGGGGCTTCCCTATTTTGCAAAGCACCCGTAAAGGGCAAAATCAGGGCACCCCACCAAAACAGTTGTTGGCCTGATGGCTTCTCTTCAAACCAAACTAGCCCAACTCTTTCTGATTTTCTGTGAGCATGTCATTAATGCTGCTTGCCAACGAGAAAAAGCAGCGCTCCAAGTCAAGGCACCATAAGCCACGTGCGACTGTGAAAACCCTCCCAGCAAATTTGTCCCTTTGTACTTCCGTGGAGGAACTTCATCTCAAACATGTGTAACACGGCCCCCCGAACTGCAATGGAGACATTCATGTCCCGCTGTTTTGGGAACAAGGGGACTTCACACACATCAAGTCGAGTCCTTTCAAACGCCCGACACACCCTTGCCTTCTTCGCCTGCGCCAAAAAAGCTCCGACCAGAGTGCCTCAAATGCCAGGGGAAGGCAACAGAGCCATGACCACACGCACAGGGCAGACAAACACTTCCTCATCTGAATCATATTCTTGCCGCCTGCTACTTAAGTATACACTCGAACTGTACACGGGCTGTTCTCTCAAATGCCGCTTGCATGCTTGGTTCTGAACAATCTCCAGTGTCCGGTTAAGCACCGTTTGGAGTGACACACCAAGGGCATCCACATCATCCATACGGGTTGGTGGTGTAAGCGCCGGCCTCCTGTGCTGAAGCTACCCCTTTCAATAAACTTGGCTTGCCTATGGTGCCCGCCCCTGGAGTTGAGACTCCCTAACTAGGCTTGTAACCAATTAAGGGCACCAAATAACCTTAGTTGGGTGCCCTGCATGCGCCAAGCCTCCGCGCCAAGAAACTGCGCTCGTGTGTATGCGAGTTCAACAACTCCTAAGTTCGTAACCAGACTCTGCGGCGCCGCATCAAAAAGCGTGTACTAGCCGGTGCACGCACGCGCCTGAGCCTTTAACTGGCGAGCTAAGCCGCCTGGTCATGCCGGATAGATGGGTTGACGCAGGAGCAGCGAAACAACATCATCCATACGGGAAGCTGGGAACTATTGAGCTTTTGTCAGTTGGTGCATCGAGTGCCCTCCCTTCCGCTCGAGGCGCCCAAGAGGCACCCCAGTGCTGCAGCGAGGCCTTGCGCCAGCCGGGTGTGCCTGGCCAGGCAGAGGTGTCCGGCACACGTGGACGTGGACGGTACCCTGGTGCCTAAACAAAATCGGATAGATGATGCAGATCGGCTTCCCCTCAAGCTTTGGGTGCATAAATTCACAAATCAGTTTGCCTAACTTCAAAACCCGCAAAATAGTACTTTGGAACATGTTGAGAGACTGGCTATTCCCTTCAACTGGACCAAAAAGCGTGCGTGTTTTGGACAAGGCGTGGTTCCCACCAGCCACAACAAAAAAATAGGACGTGGCCAAGTCCAACGACTCCTCACGATGGGGTTGGTCGTTGGTCTTCCTTCAGGCTTCCCCCCCCGGACAACGCAACGCCTCGGATCCAAACCGCTCCTTGGGCACACCATGGCGGCCAGGACCGAGAACAGGGGCACGGCAGAGTAGGTGCTCAAGACCTGGCGGAAGGAGCCACTCAGCATGCCGGGGTGCTGCAGGTCATCCGGGGTTTTCCTTTTGCCCCCTAGCTGGAGCTTGGTCCCTTGCCTTCCCAAATCCTCAGAGCTCTCAAGCATCGTTCAGGCGGACACTCTAGGCATTTCCAGGACACTCCTCTTGGAATACGCACGACACCATCGCTACATTCCACCCCCGCGCCGCGAGGTCCCCCATCCCCGCCATCATGGGCACTGCCGAGGGAAGACCGGCCAGGACACGGGCGGCGCGGCGGGACCTGCAAGCAAACGGGGCAAGAAAGACCACAGCATCGTCTTGGTTGACGTTGCAAGGGGAGCAAAAAATCATGTTGTAGCAGTTAAGTGGGGATTTCCCACTACACAACAAACAAAGATGTAAAATGTTTCCCAACAACAACCATGTGGTGGGGGGAAGCAAAACCGAGCTTCCCCCACATGGAACATCCAAAGTCCAAGGGCTCCAAATTTTGGGCTTTACACAAGAGCCTCGCGAAGTCCTGCTGTTGTGCTGTTGTGAGGCTGTGTTGCCTGCAACGTGTGGGCAACAGTGATCCAAATACATCAGATGAGCCCGGGTGACAATGAGAGCGAGGAACAAAAGGCAGCGTGCGGAAACGCACATTCGCTTCCCTCTGAGACGCCTGTGACGGTTGGTAGAAAGCCCTAAACAAGCAGACTCACTGCGCGTGCACATTTCGCCCGCAGTGTCACCATTTCGACGCGGAAATTGTACTAAGAATTTGTCCCTGTAATTTGCATCAACAAGCTTTTGGCTCACCAGTCCCAGTCCAAATGTTTGCCACCCATGAAATTGCCCCAAGCAACTCCGACCCCGGTGCTTCTGTAGCAGAGTTGGTCCCTGGGTTGATTCTGCTCCAAGCGACACCTCTCCGAACAAATTCAGCACTTCCAACCTGCACTGCCAACTGGTTTCTGCAACACATCTTGGGATGGATCGGCCGGGATCAGCCAAATGCAATATGTCTTTCATCTGCGCTTGGCCTGGAATAGAGGTCCTCAAAAAGCTGTGCGACGTCTAGGGGCACCTGCGCAGCGCGCGATCGTAGGGGAGACAAGGTGGCGGGACCCCCCGCGCTTCCACCCCAAGCAAGACCAGGGGAACTGCACTATGCTGGCAACGAGTTGGGCTTTTCCAAGAACGGACAAGCGTCAGCAGCCAGGGACTAGGATATGGCACCGTCTTGGGAAGACCCATTAAATGCTTGATTGGTTGATACCTGTTTTGGCCAAAGACATGCGCCTGCCCAAGGACGGATTGCCTGACGGTATCCATGCAAAATCAAAGTGCCTGTCAATAACTTTCTATGAGCTTTGCAAGGCAAACATTCTAAACATAGTCTCTGTTGGTCCGTTAGACAAGTGGTCTCATTCGCGCGGAACCCATGCATGCCACGGGCATCTAACCAACAGTGTCAGCCTATCACCAACTCCGTTCTCCAGAATCTGGGCCCTTAACTCAGTACATTTGGAGCACTAAACAATGATCACTGAGCAGCAATGTTTGAGTTGGCAAGGCCAAGTGGTCACCAGCAGGCAGCATGCTCCAACCACATGATCTATTCATGACTAGAAGCAGTGGGAAAGCCATGAAATAACCGCCTCCTATCCCTTGCACGCCAACAGCGCGCGCGATTGCACATGTTGCCACATTATGCTCAAACATCCTTAAATGCGTTTCTCTACGCAAGGAAGCCACAACAAACTGCCTTCCACCTGCCCCGACACTCCGAACTGGCAAGTGTCCACTTTTTTTTCCAGCGTCACATCAGGGCGCAGTCGCCCGTGGGCTGAGTCTGTGTGCACCCGTAGTGCCAGGGCTGCCATGGACGGGCACACACCCAGCACCAGTGCATGGCGCACTGGGTGCCTGGGAGGTCACGCGGCAACCGCCACTTCGGTTAAGCCTACCACTTGCCACTCCGGTCAACCTGCTCGTCTGCTTCACTCGCCTTTGTCCTTTTGTTTCGTTCTTGTCTTCATCCCTCCAAAGGTGCATGTACTTGTATACTGGCTCACAGTTGTAGATTCTCCGCAAGGCTGTTTGCGCAACGTAGAACAAAGCGTTGATATAGTAATCTGCCCGTCCTGGTCATCATCTGCGGACAAACCATTTTGGCACAAGAGCGAGTCAGTCTCTCATGGGCTTTTCTGGCGAGCCAGAACCAACTCAAACATGCCCACACTGCCACGTACCTACGTACCTGCCGTAGACCTGCTCTGGCAATCAACGCCCAAAGCAAACCCGAAAGCATGGCACACCTCCGTTTGGACGAGCCCAAGGTGCAGGTCATGTGGTTGCAGCCCATGGACCGGAGCGTCCGCACCCCGCAGCCCGGGCAGGGCTTTGCTCCTTGAAGCATGACACGAGAGGAGGCGAAGGAAGGTTGGACGCAGCAAGGGCAACAAGACATGACTGAGCAGGGCTGTGGGGAATGACCACTTCTGTGATACAACAGAAACGGCTTCCCAAAGACTATGTTCATATGAAGGGGGACTGCCTTGTATCACAGAAGTGGGGAGAAACCCCTTGATCCCACAACCCTGTGACTGAGCAACCGAGTCTTGGAAAATCCCCGGCACTCCGGCCAGAAACGAGCTTCAAGGTTGAACAAGCGAAGCATCTTCAACTGACGGGTCATGACTGGTGACACATCCATACAAGTCACTTGCGGAAAAAAAAGAAGAAGAAAAAACTGCGCGATCTATCTTCCCTCTGCCTCCAGTTCCCCCGCTCCTGCCCAGCGCCGCTCTTTGCATCGCTGCGTCTGGGGCAGCGCAGCATCGAATTCCAGGCAGCTCTTCCCTTTGTGGCAGGATCCCAGCTGCTCCCATAGCTGGCTGCACAGGAGGCAGTACTCCTCAGTGGGAGTTTTTGTTTGCCTGGTGGATGCGTCAAAATGAGAGAACGCTCTACATGGTTGTTTTGAGCCAACCGCCCACCAGGCATTTACCCGTATCCGTGTCAAAGTTCGACTGGCCCTACTGTATGTGTGTTGTCCACGGAAAACATCACCCTGACAACCCGCCGGCTGGCATAGGAAACCTTTAATTGCCTCTTTGAACATGCTAGGAAATCCCCAGCATCCGGCGTCCCAACACACAAATCTATCGATTAGGAAGCTTCGCAAAATATCGCAAAAAGATCAGCTGCAAATAGCTGGCTCGTCTTGCGTTCGGCGTTTACACGGGTCTGTGTCACAACATCCTGACTCAGAATGGCGGTTGTCGGTCGGTTTTCCCTGTAAGCCACCCCAAAAATAGAGGGTACCCTCCCTGAAAACCCATGCGAGCCGTAGGTTCCAGCTGGCACCGCGGGCAGTGCACGCAGCGGCTATCCTGTCCCCTGGCCCCCACCAGCGGCGCAGTGTAGAAGCCCATGTGCCGAGCCAAGGGCCAGCTGCGGGGGTCCCAACGGCTGCCCGGCTCCTCGGAGAACTTGGAGAAATGAGGCCGCGGTTGGTGTCTTCCAACCCCATGGCCCATACCTCTTTAAGATCACTTTGCCTGGTTGATTGGCCCCAAACACCGGTTGGGCCCAAAAAACGCGCTGGGGTCAGGCAGACGGTCCCAAAGGGGAAAACCCGCGCTTGGAATAAGGGTCCCAAAGTGTCCCCCAAAGATACAGCTCGAAAAGAGACCGAGAGGATGCCCGCTTCAACCTGGGTTCGTGTGCTCCCAAGACATCGCTTTGAAACGCTGAGAGTCGTGCCGCAGGTGCAAACGAATCCTTCCAACCCCCCCCCTCCCGCAAACCATCCACTCTATCAGTCCCACAAACGGTCCGCAAAAAAAAAAAAAACGCGGGCAAACTGCAAAGTCCAAACCAAACAATCAAGAAAAGAGAGAAACAAATGAAACCCCCTTTCAACTTCGCAAAGTGTCTCGCCCGCCTGCGAGGCCTTGGCACGGCGCAAGTCTCTGGGCAGAAGCCACATATGGCTGCAGTCGCTGCCCGGGCAGTGCACCACGTCCTGCGTGCGACTTGCCGCGAATCCATGCTGAGCTGGAGGGAAGCTCTGGCATGTCCACGTCTCAGGAAACCACGAGCGAACCCAAAGGAAACCCAACTGGCCCAAAAAATGAAGACTCCATGGGACGAGGGCGCTTTTGGCCCAGTCAACTCACCTCCATGCGTGCCGCGCAGCTGGCCGCCAGACCACTGGTCAAGCTCCAGCGCTCGTAGGCGCGCAGCTTCCTGCGCCCGCGGCCGCCCAGCAGGTCCAGGCCCTGCCAGGACCACCTGACCCATGAAAAACACACTCTCTCCGAATGGACCCAAAAAATTGGTTTGCAACATCCCCCCTCCATTTCCGGTTGTCTCAAACTGGCAGGGGCCTTTCTTCTTTGCTTGTCTTTCTTTGGTGTTTTGCGCTTACCAGGTGCACTCCATGGCCAATGTGGCCATAATCTCGTGGCCGAAAGGATTCCCATCATTTCCCTCCCATGAGGTTTTGGTGTCAGCTACCCCACCACCAACCACACACGAGACCCACGGTGTCAGCCACCCCGGACCCCGGGGCCCGGGCTGATGCCGCCGGAAGGCGCAGAGCACCATGACGTCCGGCACCGGCGCCTCACAAACATGGCCGGGGGAGGCACGGAAGGGGCCCAGCAAAACTCGCATTGCCATCTGGTCATGGTGACCCCCTGACTCCCTTGGTAACCCTCGTTCTTGTGCCTTAGAAAAGGGCTCCCCTTTTCTGCCAAAGCCCCCCAAAAGCGAAAGGGTGCAAACGAGGCGACAAGTGGGAAAGTGCAAGCCCTGTGCCTAGAAACCAAACGGACAATGAAATCTCTCATGGCACATTGCCGAAGCGGTTTCGGCACTCCCGTGGTTTTGCAGCTCTGCAGTTGTTCAATGCCACTGCTGTTGAACACCCAATGCATGATTTGTGCACGTTCTGAACTGTGTTTTCTTGCTGCAAGGGGTCACAGTACACCCAGTGCCTTTCAATGGAAGCCATTGCAACCACTGCTGCTGCATCAACTTTGCTTCGCTGTACTTGTGGATCACAGCATTCTGACCAAGTTTGCTTGAAAAAGCAATCATTTGGGCTGTCAACATGGGCAGTGCTTTTCGAACAACCTTCACCCTCCACGAGACAACTACGCTCTTCGTTTGTCCCGCCACTACCAACACAGTGAACCACCGCCAGGCCTTGCAGAGGAGGGGACAGTTCATCTCTGGCCGGGCGTCATCGATGACGCTTTCCGCATGGCGGCGGAGGCAAGACCAGCACAGCTTCCGGGCACAGCAGGGAAGACTGGCGCGGGAGTCGCTGAGTCGCCCAGCATGCCGCCGGAAGAGGCAGAATGCGGGCGCTCTTACTTTTGTGTCAAGGCCGCCCGTCAAGAAGCTCCAAACACTCAAAGGCAGTATTGGTTGAGGAAGGGAGGAGTCCCAACAGGCGATAATCCATTTACACCCGAGCGACAGAAGGCTGGTACCTTGCAGGACCGCAGGGTTTCCCCCTTTGCGACACTTCCGTACCTTGCCAAGAACACAAACTGATCCACGTTGGCTTTGGCGCCTTTCCAATCAGAATCCTCAGGAAGCGCTTGAAAAGCGTCAAGAAGGGTGCTTTCAGGACTATTACCAGCCTAAAGCCCCGCGCAGTTTCCCGAAACTCTTGCCGGAGGTGGTTGGGAATCCGTTTCTGTCCCTAGAAAGGAAGCGCCGTCCTTTTCCCATGCATCAAAAGAAACACGCCGACTGTCCGTGTGTCACCTTCCAAGAGACAATTACTTTCACGCTGGCGGCTGCGCCAAAAAAAAAACGGGCCTTGCCATTTGCCAGGCGTTGTCCTCCAAACTCTCCGCACAAATGGGGCAGTCGACTGACGCCGCCGTGAGTTGCCTGGTCCGCGGGTTGGGACAGGGAGGGCGGGGGGGAGGCTCAAACAAATGAGGCACAGAAATGCGTTGCTGAGTTTGGCTGCTTAAGGAAGGTCACAGAAGCACAGAAACACAAGTGTCCCCCATCAATAGCTTTCACAAACGCGCGGACTGGGTTGCTGACTTTGAACTTGTAGATTGAAGTTTGAGGCAAATACTAGCGACTCACTAAGGGTTGAATCAGCAAAGCAATTAAGGAATTTGATATGCACATGCACATCGTCTGAGCTATTTGCACTCAATGCTGCCCAGTTGCCCTCCCTCCAACAATCATGGAAGCGACAGGAGGGTTGTTTGAAGACTATTTTCCTTTTGGGGAACCTCATGATTGTTGGAAAGAGGGTGGCGGCCGGAGAAATTGCATCATCTTCCGCTGCCATTGTCCAATTTGCACAGCGCTTGATTTGCAGCCTCTTGTCAGATGTTCGAACATATCTGTAACCAACATGTTCGTTGGCGCAAACGCGGGGTTTTGTCACACTTTCAAGGCGCATTGACAAACTGCCAGCATCAGTGATTACGATTGTGCGCTCGGCATCTTCTGAGCAAAAGATGAAACCAAGCAAACTTGTTGGAACCAACAACCAGACTTTTGCCTCACCAGTGCGCATGCAGCTCCATCAATGAGCATTAGATGTCCTTGCCATCCATCGTGACCGCAAAGCGGCAGCTGGAATGACTGGGAAATTCATCATCCAACAACTGATCAGCGCATCCCCCCACCTCGACCAAAGGAAGTCGAGCCACTCCTGCACAAATCCGGGCCATGACTCGCATGGACAGGACTAGGCCAACCTAGGCCAACCATCTGTAGCCGCCATTGTTCCAACACAATCCTTGCATGCTTGTGTTTTTCTTGAAAGGAACAATGATCAATTCGCCATTCGCGCTACTCAGAATCTTGGAACCAAGCTCTTCTCTGCTAGTGCTAAGATCTACCGTATGCGCATCTCGGAAATCCGAGTTGTCGCTGGTCAGTCTAAACTTCGAGGTCTCCCAAGTCTCTAGCTGTACAGAATCTCATCCTGGGTGAGCTCGTTTTACCTGGGTGAGCTCGTCAAAATGTACCCTGACGAATCCAAACCAGCCATCCAGGAACCCATCCAGCCAAGCATTTTTCAAACAGCTCCTTCTGCAGCGAGGGGCTATGCAGCAATCGGCTCAGGTAGAGCACCAGCGCCAGTACCAGCAGGTAGGGCAGCGCCATCTGCGCAATCTTCCCCCGAACAAGAAATGGAAAGGGCGCTCGCGGCTCAGTGCGAGGAGAATATTGTAAGTAGACGGATGCCTGCTTGATGCATTGTTTAGCACGCTTCATGGTGTACATGGTGGAACATGTCATGACGTCAACCAACCTCTTGAGCAAGACAGTGGTCCATGACCCTCCCAAACTTGTAGTCGAGTCTTGTTGGTCTCGCGTGCTCGCAAGGCTCAGCCTTGGCTCGTGGCTCAGTTCTAGCCGTTCTTCATAGTGACAAGGACCCGCCCCTACCTCAAAGCACACCAAACCAACAATTCAAACAAAAACACGTAGCTTGCAAACGGACCCCCATTGAACGTCGAGCCCGACTCGCGACCCGCTCCTGCAGCAGCTGGAGCACCAAGATGACCGCGCTGGCCAGCAGAAAGGCCAAGGCCTCCCGCGGACGGCTGAAAAATGGTCAACCTGACGCCCGATTAGGGCGGTAGCCCTGTGAAAACGCAAAAGTGGGATCCTTCAGAGAATCGGTTCCGGTTGAGGATCAAGCCCGCAGAACGCGTCCTTCAGCAAAATCCTGAAGCATGGTCAGGAGGACGCCATGCCGAAAGCCGCAAGCCAAGCATGAGGGCCTCAGCCAAGCCTCAAGCAGAGGTGTCCATTTCATGTTGAAAGTTGGCCCTTGTTCCTAACCCTTCCAACTGCTTAGCGACGCCGGATTGCGGATGGCGGAAATTTGGGGCCTCCGTGAAGATCCAGGCAGCCCGCAGGGAGAGCCACAGCAATGCTCCGCCGCCCAGAACCAGCACCGCCATCGTGGCCTCGACAACAAAAGGATTCAGCAGCTGCCAAAAAGCGCAGCAAAAGGGCTTTGAGCAAAAAAAAACAGGCACACCAAACCCTTCCTCGCGGGCAGGGGTTCCGGGTATTTTATGCGGCCTCACTGCACTCGCTCGCACCGTCGTATCGAAGTCCCCGCCTGCTGCAGCGTCATGTTGCCGTGGCCATCAGCCATCAGCGGCAGCCTGTTTCGTCCGAAGGGAGGCACCAACTTGAATGGCTACATGTGGGTGGGTCAAAAATCTTGGCACCCAAAATGAAACCCTGGTAAACGGAAAGGACTAAATCCTGCGGTCCCCTGGTGGTTCGATTTTGACCCAGATCCATGTGTGTCTTGTTTGAGGATGGTCGTGAAACACGCGTTTCGTCTCGCGCCGTGGCTCGCTGAGTCGCTGTACAAGTTGACGGAGATTCCGAAGTTCAGATTCGTTGGGTTGTCCAAGCTTGGAACGCAACATGATGGGGAGCGCGCCGCGTGGGAGATCGCGTTCAAGCCCAAGCCACCACTAAAATGGTTTCGATGCACACATCCCACGTGGAAGCCCTTGCCTGGACGTCCACACAGTAACACTTCAGGATGTGACCCGAAAAGCCCCTACCGTCTGCGTGCTTCATGGCTTTGTGTCTTTGGGGCTTTCGGGCTTCAGGGAGTTGTTTGTTGTTTTAGTGTTTTTAGGTTTCAGGCTCTGGAACTTTTGGGTTTCGGAGTTTTGCTGGGGAGCGGCAAGGATATATCATATTAAATATGAGTATGTATCAAAACGTGGGGCTCATATCCCATTTTGGACCATCAAAAATGTCCAATCCCTTTTCGCACACTCGATTTGCCTCTTGTTAAGCATGTTCCGCTTCCGAACCGAAAACCGGGGGGGGACCCGCGCCTCTCGAGCAGGTAGATCACCTGAAGCCGCCCCAGCGCCACAAAATGCTCCGCCACCCAGGCCACGTGCCCTTGCCACGGCACGTCCATCGGCGCGGGCGACGTTGAAAATCTCCCCCGCGCCGGGCGAAGAAGCCGCCCTTTTTCTTCGTGTGAAATGCTGCAGCCAGGGCAAAAGCGTGGTTGACGTTGAGGAAGCATCTCTGTAAGGGTTGGTTCGGATGGAGTTGGAACCTTGGACTCACTTGGACTACAGCAATCCATCTACGGCATTCAAGGGCGTGTTAGGCTGCCTTTTGCTTGCTGCTTCGTTCCAGTCGAGCCGGCCGAAGTTCGCAGCCAGTTTGCGCAGCTCAAATGGGCGCGCAATTGGGCCGCCTATGCCTACGTGCTGTGAGCCAGGAATTGCAATCAAAGAAGTGGTCGTCTTGATCCAATGGCTTCCCGAAAGAGTTGGGTGAAACACGGAATGCTTGCCCTGTTTGTATGAAACTGGATGCAACCTGTATGGGCGAATTGTACCATCTACCTTCACTGATTCACCCGGGTACATCGATGAGGCAGAAACCTTATACGTCACCGACTCCACCAAACCCAGCAGTGCAGAGGCCATCGAACATTGGGTGTTGTCGTGACATGTGTGTCTGCATCACATGCAGGTGTTCTGATAGTTATCTTAGTCAACAGTACAATCCAAACACTTGCCTATGCTTTGGCTGGCCCTTGGTGGCCTCGCAGATTCCTTGGCCATGCCCGCTCACTCACATCTTCCCACAAAATGAGCCAGGCCCCACTCCTGCCCAATCAGCACCCGTTGGCTTGTCAGAGACTTCGGCCTTCTTGAGACCCCCAACTCAGCATCAGTTTGTCCAACCTCAAAGGGGACCCCAGGGAAAGGGTCATTCGGCGAATTCCCAGTGGACTATCATGTCTGGTCTCCGGCACGTCGCGAGCCCCTGCGCGCGCCTTTTTCTTGAACCATCAAAAACGCCCAACATGTACCTTTGTCAAGTTTGGTCAAGCTACGCAATGCGTTTCGGTTTACTGCGGCATTTCTTTGCTCGGCACCCATGGCCCAAGCCACCCCCCGGGGCGCACCGTGGGTGCCGTGGCGGTGGCGGCGGCCTCTGACTCACACTGTGGCTCACAAATAGGGTAACCCTAAAATGGGTGGCCCCAGTAGGTCGAACCAAGGACTTGAGTTTTGACCCATACCCACATTACCTCGAGCTTGGTCCGTAACAGTTGATGGAAGCTCTTGCGGGGCGAAAACATGAGGAAACCAACCCTTTCTAGGGATCCCCTTTGAAACAAACCCATGAAGCCACGGGCTGATCTGCTGAACGGCTTTCCTGGGCCACAAGCCAATGGGGACACGGCGCGCCGACGACCGACTCCATTTGAGGCCCCGGCTCCAGGCGCACGGCCTGCGAGGGGGTTGGTTGGCCTTCTGGCGCCTCAACATCCCTCACGAACTGGCCGTGCGCCGCAAAATCGGGGGGGCAAGCGGCCCTAAAACGCGGAAAAAGCGTCCCTCTCTTCAAAACCGACGCAAAGGAGACTCCCATAAAACGAGCCTTTGCCATGATTGAGCTCGGTTACAGCTTCCCGAAGGAGTTCTGATGCTAGAAGTGCCCCCCCCTTTTCCGAAAAGTCAACCAGAAGCCTATCAATCCAAGGGATTCCAAAGGCATCCCATTTTATCGCCAAAAACTCCTCCACGTGCCAGCGCGCCTCGCCGGCGGCGCAGGGCCAGCCTCGCTCCGCAGAGCGCCACCTGTCGGGGGGTTTCCCCTCCCTTTCCTTCCGCCGGGGGCGAAAAAGATGCACATGGCGACGGCGGGCCGTTTGATTTGTGTTTCTCACGGAACGTTTGGGGCTCTTCAAATGGCGAACTTTGACTTGAACCATTGCCTTTCGGGCTCCCAAAGGCAATGATCCCATAGGCTGAGGCTCATAGATGGTGAGGAACCTGTGGAGTTCAACTAGACGGCTTAGTTTGCGCACTCGGTGGAATGGGATGCGGAAACCTCTTGGTGGCATTTACCCTCCCACCAGCTAAACAACCCACCTCGTAGAATAACATGGTCTTCCAACTTACTCCCCTCCCCCCAGTCAGGTTCCACGTGGTGGCAACTCCTTCGGGTCATGGTTCCCTTGATACGAACCTTCACAACTGTCTAAGTTTCTTTTCAAGCAGGTACTTGCCGGGAGAACGGCGGGGACAAAAGCGTCTCTGGTTTGACCTTGTCTCTGGAGATGCGTTGACATGGTGCCTATTCTACGTCAACTCTCAAGTTTGTCCACAAGTGAACCGTCTTCTCACAGTGGCCAAGTTCAATCACCCGCGTTTGCACGTCTCCGTACAGCCCAGGGCCCAGGTTTCCCTCCGCCGAGCCGCCACCAGCTTCAGCGTCGGCAGTCCATTCCCGGGCTCTGCCGGTGCCGCGGCCCGCGCCGAGGCGGCCGTGCGGAGACCCGCCGCTTTGCGCTTGACAGCGCCGGGCGGGGCTGAGCGGCCTGTCGGGACAAGCACAAGCCAAGAACATGGTGTCTAGAAACCATTCATCAAGATTGGCTTGCTAGGAATGCGCATTTTACATGATGCACGACGTACATGAGCATGCGATAGCTTATTTTTAGATTGTTCTGTCCCACGGGCACTCTAGGGAGCCGGGCCAGCTCTGGAAGTTAAAGCGCCTGCGGCGGGAGTTCAGGTTTCAAGCATCGGTTGCAAGGACCTGTTACTTTGAGTCACTGGCTATGCAACTGCCTGTTCGGGCGCCAATTTCCCCACCCAATGACAAGCAACATCTCGAGAAGGGGAACAGGGAAGCACTACTTTCGGCTGCACAGTTTGTACTTCTGGCATATGGACAGCCAGAAGAGAGGAGGGCACCAAGTGGAGAAGTGGTCCGAAATCACAGGGACGTTCAAAGGCAAGCAGCTCAGGAATGCAATTAGCAAGCACATAAGCGTCGGCAGGTGGCAGGTAGAGTCGACGAGAAGAACCCGAGTTGATGCAGCGAGCAATGGCAGAAACAACTGCGTCCACCTCAAGCGAACATCCAACAACTACATACCTCCCGTAAACCTCAAAGCTGCCTGACGGCAAAACATGTCCAGCAGCCTCAACCCCCCAAGCAGCCCTCAAGGGCCAAGCCCCTAAACTTCACCACTGCACCCCACTTCGTCCCAGCCTTGGCTGATGGGGAAGGCTCCCAGGGCCGCAAAACTCAACCCGTAGTCCTGGCGCTCTCCCTGCACTTCCGAGGAAAACATGTGCTCCCCTTGGAAAAACTGGCATGGATGTGCCAAATCAGCTGGTTGCACGATAGACAATTGGATCCCAGCAAGAGACTTCCAAAATCGCTTACGACCCCTTTCCACGGTGCTCCACTGCCATGGCAGCTGCAAATGGAAATGTATCAAACTGCGGGCCCGCCCTCTGCCGGATCTCCAAGTAAAGCAAACGTCCCTGGAAGAGCTTTGCACAAAGCTCTCTGGATTCCGCAAGAGTTCCTTAAACACTGGCGGTGAGCCCATGTTTTGGGCCAGGTGGCTCTAAGTAGATCGCTTCCCAAAGACGAGAGAAGCACCTCCCCGACGCAGTCCTGAAGCCTCAGGCAGGCACCTTCGACGGCGGATCACAGGTGATTCCATCTGCCACCAAGCCAACGACGGCGGAAAGTAGAGCCACTGACAGGGGCGACTCCCTGAAACGTCATGGTATGTGCTTATATGACTGTGGATCAAAACAACCTTGGCAACCGTAACCGTAACCAAGGACTAAAAAACCTGCGGTCCCCTGAGCTCCCTATCGTTACGCTTTCTTTCGGATGTCGAACCAACGTGGGAGGAGGTTAAGTCAGATTCACCCGTTTTTTGTGGTCAGCGGGTGTATATGTGTACCCGCTCTCTCGCTTTCCAGCAACACTTGAAACCCCATCATAGCATAGCCCGGCCACACAATTACTTCGGTCACCCAGGTCTGTTTTCCCTTCATTGGCCAAATGTCTACCTGTACCCCTGCGCCGGAGCGATTGCCTTAGCCCACGCGTTTGCCTACGCGCTCGCGCCTCCGTCGCAGCCCATGCTCGCCGCGGCCATCTTCGGCAGTCCCGGTCTCCCGGTCCCGGAACCAAAGCTGCCACCGGCGCGGGGGGTGCAAAACGCGCCTCAAACGGCCTTTTGAGCGTTCGCAGCTTTTGTCATTTTGGGTTTGGCTGTGGCACCAGCAACCGTTTTCGCCGGATCGTTCCGGTTCCAAGTCTAGGAGGAGAAGTGAGACGAAGCGAATCTGGCCCACCACACCTGCCCGGTGCCCTCATGTCTGCAGCTACAAGTCATTGAGAGCTGCACAGCAGCTCGGACGAAGAGCCCCGAAGGGCCAGAAGCCCGGACCCAAAGGGTGTCTTTCTTTCGGACAAGTCCCATCCCCTCCCAGTGATGGCTTTTCCCGGAGGTTGCTAGCCTCTGGTGCTCACGGCCATTGTTTTCCGCTGGCTGGCGTCCATTAAGCGAGGACCCCGTTCGGTCCGCCCTGCAAGGCTAGCCAAATCTTCTGCTGAGCATCGCCTCATAAAGAGGCATCAGCACCTGGGTCTCGGTACCTCACGTCTGCAGAGCCACACGGGGAGCAAAAAGGAACGGAGCCCAACAACACAGGTTCTCCAAATTTAGCTTCACGAGGGAATCTGCGTAGCTGAAAGCAAGGTGCGGACACCATTTGGTTCCAAGGGTTGTCCACGATTCCGAGAAGCAAAGACTTACTGTTGCCAGCCGACTGGAGCAAATTTGTTCCTAGCCTTCTGATCGTACGGGAGCCACCTTGCTCATCACCATCCGCGGTGTGCATCCCGCACGTGGTGACATGTCTGTAAGGGGCCGCTGACTTTTCTCTATACGTAAATCAGTCGAAGGGCTACACCGGCAAGCCGCAATCCAAAGAAAGGGGTTGCCGGATCCATTACCACGGCCCTTGCCTTCTCCTGATGTTCTTGAACCCAATTGCTCTGCCTTTCTGTTGATTGGAGAAACAGGTTGAACGGTTCATCCACTCAAGAGGCTTGCTTGTTTTCTGAGCAAACAGAACCATCCACAGAACAGACAAAAACAAAAAACTTGTGCGATTGACGTAGGACTTCACATGGTGAAAGCCTTGCACAGGGCCACAAGACACCTGCAACTCAGGAGCACCCAAAAGGCCAGGGCTGTCCTCTCACCGGCCCCGCCCCCGTCCCCCCCTTTCCATCGCCGCGGTGCGGATGGACACTTTCAGACTGCTGCTGCCGGGACCTCACCGGCACCGGCTGTCAAAAGGGCGCAGGTGTCGACTGGTGGATGCCATCGAATGCCGGGATCGGCTGGCAGAAATTTCGAGGCCCGAAGGGTAAAAGAAACTTGGGCTTGGAGGGAAGTTATCAAGCAAATATCTTCTTTGACGTATGTCATAGCAAGTACCAAAGACGCGCGCAAGTCGGACGCAAGTCTCTGAGATGCACTAGGATGCAAACAACGGTTCCCACAGGCGTTGATCATCTCTGGTTGGTTTTCTGGAAGAGATGTTCCCCATAGGCAGAATTCGACCCCGCGAACCCTGACGCTGACTTTGAAGTTATGCAGCGGCTGCATGGCTAACAACAATCCATAAGCTTCATGACGAGAACATCCCGCTAGCCCAAAGGCTGCGAGTGCCCCTTCGACTGCCGGTCGTGAACAAGAAAAGCCGGCCACGCATGCTGGCATGGAGATCCATTTCTTTCCACATGGAAGCTGACGAAGGGAAGTTGGCATGGCGATGCATGGCCAAATCCATTCAAACAGCCGGCTCTCCCGCAGGTGCTTAGGCAAGCACTGACAGCAACCTCTGAGAGGACAGTACCTGGGCTCTCAAAGGTCACCGAACGGAAACGCCCTGCCCTGAGAAAAAACTCTGCAACACGGTCCTGTGAAGAAAGAAACCTTTCCACTAGACATGGGCAAATCTTTGTTGACCCTATGTAATCCCTACATGATGCATGCAATCAATACAACCAAGCCCTGGTCAGACATCTGAAAAGGTTCACCAGGACAGTGTCGTCTGTCGTTACAAACGTGAGAAGAAGCCAACCGCTAGAAACGACAGTTTCGCCTGGCTAAAAAAAAGAAAAGATTGGCACTGCTCAGCATACCTCAAAATGCAGGCATCATTCATCTGGCCCTGACTAGATGCTGGTCTTGGCTTCGTTTCACTCAGTCTGCCAATGATATCAGCAATGCCTGAAACGCGCAAATCCAACACAAGGGCGCATGAAGTCCAATAATATCTTGGCTTGCTCAAAAGCCGGCCAAACAATTCCCCCCCCCCCAGAACACCATGCTATTCTTCCGCTTTGTTCCGGCAGGAGGAGTTGAGGAGGAATTCTGGGCAACGGACCCTTCCCTCTCCCTTCCCCTCTTCATCTGAGCGGCAATTGTTGGGCGTCTGCGATGACGTGTACAGAAGCACCGACCCGTCGTCCACCTTTGGCAGTTTGGCGAGGCATCTCTCACTCGCCAAAGCTAGTGCTTCGAGGCTTGCAGCAATTCCTAGGACTTGGACCTCTTCAAAACAATGCCATGTGTACTGGAATATATGTATGTGTGTGTGTGTGTGTGTCACCCTTTGGCAAAAGGGTGACAGTTGAGACAATACATCAAAAGTTAGACTACTACGTGCAGCGTGCCTGTCTGAAATCATGCCTCAACACACACCAGGTGGGGCAAGAGGGTCATTTGTCACCAGAACTCTTGCTCTTGGGCAATAAATCATGAATGACACCCTTTTGTAAAGGAGACAATCTGTACACATTGATACATGTGCCGCAGTCCTATTGGTCTTATTCTAACTCTGCAATCCCTCATAGCCGTGTAATCAAGAATATGCAGGCTTAGTCCTCTCTGCTGCCTTCTTTAGAAAGGTCCCTTCAGACACCAACCGCGACTCCAGAACCTTACAACTGACATGCTCTCCCACTTGCCCTCACAAAAGAAACACAAGGAACCGGAAAAGGGACACCTCAAAAGGGACACCTGGAAAGGGACACCTGAAAAGGGACACCTGAAAAGGGACCCCTTGCCCTCCAGGGCCCCTCTTTCAGGTTCCACGTCCGACCCTTCACCAACTTCCGTCAACGCCTGCCGCTGCGCCACGTAGTGGACATTATCCGCGGCAAGCTGCGCCTTCACCTCGAAACCGTGCGACTTCTAATCGGGAACCCTCTGTTGGTTGGTTTTAACGGGAAACCAAAAAGAAAACCACCATTTTGCAGGGGTCCTCTAAAAAATAAAAGCACCCATATGGTTGATTCTCTGGACGCTGCCACTCCAACAAAAGTGCGTTTCCCTGAAAATCACAGTCGCGTACGTGTTGGGTGCACTTCACTTGTATCTGGAATGCGAGCCAAGACTTTCGGCGTTTCCATCTTGCGCTTCCACGTCGGGCAGTCTTCAATTGTCGGCAACAACCTACATTTGGGGGAGGCGCTGTATGTCAAGTACGTTTACCCGGCCTCTATCTTCTGAGCAAAATCATAGTGATTACCTGTTCGTGGCTATTGCTATGGCCTGCAATGGTTTGCCCTGCTATGCTTCTGAATTGATATGCGCAAAACAGTGCTTGCATCTTTTGGGCACGTGCCAAGAAGTGGGGACTAAACTCTTGCACTCCTTAGAATGCCTCCTGCAGCTGTTCTTTTGTCGCGGCCTCCAAGGCGATCAGGTCAGAACCCTCTAGGCTTCTCCGCTCAAAGCGATCCACTCATCACCCAAATGACATCCGGGTTCTCTCTCAAAAACAGCAAAGCCAAGCTTTGGCCCAGACCCTTGAAGACCTGTTGCCCACTTTCTTTGAGGCCGGCGCTGCCTCCGCATCCATGGGTCTTGCCATGCTAATCATGGCGACCTTCTGACCGGCCTCGCCCACCTGCCGCGTGAGGTGAGGCTCGGCAGTGGCAACGGAAGGCTTCCAGAATGTCACCAGGTCTAGGAAAGATATCAATGGAACTCTCATCAATCATGTGGACAAATCTCTCACCATCTCATTGTCAAATACCCACCCACCCCCTCACCGTCATCACGGATGGACATTCGCCCAAACTCGCAGGCGAGGCCCGCTGCCAAATTGGTGTGAAGTCGTCCCGGGTAAGGGCGCCGCTCTCCACCAAGACTGCCTCGAAATCGAGACAAGAAACGAATGCGGACAGGAGCCAGGAGCGAAAAGCAGGCGTTGCCACGAGCCAAAAACACATGCTCAAGCTTCCCACAGCCCCCATGGAAATTGCTTAGGCCTGTGTGCTGTAGACTCACAAGTGCTCAACTGAGAAGGTGGCCGACAAGTCGAACTGCACGTGGAAGTAGAAGATGTCAAGTGAGGTTTTGATTGCGACCTGCAGGTCAAAACACTCGCTGAGCGTAGGTGCACTGAGCTTGGAAAGTGATCACCAACCACCCGCCCACCAACCAGCCAGCTACCCAAGCAACGAAGCCAACCAATGCCAGCAGTCTCAAACTCCTTATCCATCTCACCCATCGTTCACCAAAGTTCAGAGGGGGCCGATTTAAGAAACAGAACGCCCAACGCTAGAGACGCCTTCCTGCGTCCCAGCCTGGAGGAGGAGTGGATTGGTTGGTGGAGTGTTGCCTCGACCGATTGTTCGATCCGTCGATCGGTCAGAGCCAGGGTGGGCACAGCAAGGCACGCTGTCGGGCCAGGAAAAGGCTCTCATAACTGTTGAACCCAGCGCTGGATGGCGCGAACGGTGTCTCCTTGCCCGGGCATGTGCTTCTTTCCACGTCCCTGGATCCCACACAGCCTTCGCTGATTGGACGGGGTTAGGAACTACAAGAAGCCACAGCTTCTGCCACTTCAGGGTAAATTCATCTCATCAATTGAATCTAAGCAAGAGAGACATTAGTTTCACTGCTTGCACTCTGGACGCTATGCAACAACAGTCTGCCGTACCAACGCAAGCTCCCGTAAAGTCACTCACCTAGAGACATGGTTGACATGGTTGAGGCTTCCGTAGGAAAGCCACCCACCTAGAGACATTGAGAGCCTTCCGCCTTTAAACTTGGCGAGATCCGCAAACTCCTCCCACGCCCATCTCACCTCAGCGCTTTCGCCTCAGAGCCCATGTCGCCCTGAGGCCCTCGCTCATCAGCTGCCCCGGCGTCATCACCACGGCAACCTGCTGCGTCGGGCGTCAAAAATGGCCAGCGTCCTGCCCGAAAATCCTATCCGGACAAAAAAGAGGCTTTTGCCGCGTCTCAAAGAAAAGCTCGGTTGAAGTCGGTGCGAAGAGAGATGTTTCAAATGGAGAAGGAAAGCGGAAAGCTTGCAGGGGCCGTGCGCCGAGGCGAACCCTGGACCCGGAAGGCGGCAAAGCCCCAGGACTTTGCACTTTGCCAGAGAATGTTCCAGGCCATCGCCCTCACGCCCGCCCAAAGTGGGAGGTGCATGTCGAATGTGCGTTGGCGCGTTACATGCCAAGGCCCGATTGCAACATGTTTCTGGGTTTGGGCCTTTAGATGGAAACAAGGTCACAGCGCCTGCCACTGCAGGGTTGCTGATATGTGTATGGCGTCGGATGTCTTGAGAGCCGCTGAAAATTGCAGACATGATCTTGAGGCATTCTACATCCCACAAAGCCCCCTGTGGTTCCCTTGAAGTCAAGCACCTTGCTTTCTTTGTACCGGGCTTGGCATTCTTTCAGGTCTTTCAAGCCGGGTATGCTCCAAAATCGGAGCCCTTGCGCTTCAAGTTGTTCTAAAAGACGACGACAACAAGCAGCCATCTGCACCCCTCCATATCTTGAACCACCAGAAAACCTGGCAAACTAGCCTGGTTACTGCAAAGTTCCAACTCAGTAATTTCCGCCATGCCAGCCGAATCCGCCTCTGCGGAGGATCCCGACATGATCTCCGGGCAGGCTATCCTCCAGCAAATCGGCGGCATGTCTTTGAAGCAACTCCGCACTCACGACAAGCAGGGCCGCACTCACGCGCTCGCAAAGGCATCTTCCGAAATGATCTTCGGTTTTCCCTCACAGCCCGAAGTGATGTTGCCTTCCCGTGCCGAGCCCCCAGCTGCTGAGTTGGTGCAAACCCGAAAGGGTTCTTGTTCACCTGCCGAGCTTCCACATCGCTGTGCCCCATGCGTAAAAGGCTCGGGCGCAAACTTCAACACTTTCCACCTACAAAACAAATGCTCCTGGGCCACCACTCCTCCAGTTTGATGACTTCTGCATGCGTTTCCCTTTGAACCACCCAAGCAACATCCACAACTTCGGGAGACCCCAAAACGAAGGAAACTCCGGGCCTTTAAGCCTTCAAGGCACTACAACCCCTTTGAGCTGGTGGACTTATCAGTACCGTTGACGGCCTCTCAATTTGGCCGCCAGAAAACATCTTGGGCATGTCCGCCGAATTCGGATTCTGTTTTGGGAACCAAACCAACTGTGAAGGCTCCGACTTGCAAAAGGGCTATACACATGACTACCCCCCCCCGCTTCGCCATGCGCCTGAATGGCAAAGCCGCCGAGAGGCCCGGAGCTCGAGTTGCTGAAGGTCATCATCAGCGTCGGGGAGCCCCTGGCAATGCTTGATTACACCGGACCGGCCTTGCCAATGTTAAACCATCTGCGAAGAACAATTGCAGTTTGAGCTTGTGCATAGTTCAAGTCGCAGTCTTCTGTTCAGAGAACCAATGGTTCCCTATAATTGTGGTCTAGCATCCAAAGCAAATGCACGTGCCAACAAAAGTCAGCCAAGCAAATGTCAGGCATAACCGAATTGTGTGTGTGTGTGATCAATTGGCTTGCGCTGATTGAATAAGATAATGAACTGTTAATAAGTTATGAGTGAACCATGATGATTAAATCACAATGAGTGAATCATAATCAGCGAGCCTCCTTGTCTTGAACACATAACACAGCTAACCCAGGATCGTGGGGTTCAGGCAGCGATATGGCACACTCGAAGCAAATGCATGCCAGCGACCCCATGCTCCAGAGGCAGCAAAAGAACAACCCGAAGACCCGAAGTTCAACATAGGATGTGGAGGGTTGGGATCTTCCTGCGAAGATATTGTACCTCTTGCCTTGTAGGACTGTTGCCCCGAAGCATCATTTGCGCTGCGACGGGCTTTTGGGAACCAAGCAACCGGAACAATTTGATGCAACGGACCCAGAGGCCCAGATCTCACCGAGCTGGGAGCCCGTGGCGCCTCTGTCTCACAAAGGCTGCGGAAACGGCAAAGCCCGTGTTGCCGTGCTGTCCTGCACGAGTCGCTGCCACCGTCACTTCGCATCCAGGTCTTGGCAAACGCTTAAACGCTTTGGCCCGTGGCTCTCGGCCTCGTCTGAGCTCTTCAGAGATGGGGTCCAAAGAAAACTAACATCGAAAACCAGAAAGGGCAGTTCACCAGGGGCACCATTTTGACATACACCCTTTCATCCCACCAAGTAGCAGACAGGCCTTGATAACCAAGGTGTCGATTTTCCCACGCTGCCCAACCAATGGCTCCGGTTTGGCCATCGCCACACCCCACGTCCTGCTTGCGTTGGCGGCAGCACTGCCACCTTCTGCACTGCAGGTGCCTCAGCCACAGCCCCTCAAACATCCTCGGGAGCGGGGGGGGGGGGGAATAGCGGTAACATGAACCTTGCCTGGGCTGAGGTGGCTTATCTTCCTGAAGCAACCCAATCCAATCCGAACTCACCTCTCCAGATCCCCATCAAGGGCTTTCGCCCTTCCTGGAGTCAGCCTGGCTCCCATGCCTTCCCTTCATGCTGGCTTGCAACTGGAAACGACATCGGAGAAACTGCTGCTCCATATCTGAGTATAGTGTCACCCCAGCCTGATGTTGTGGCATGTCTGCCTTCTGAGAGAATCGCCGCCAGAACATGCAGTGGCCTTTCCTCGTCCCAGGTAGCCATCTGCCATCTCTGCCGTCTCTGCCCAGGGCCCCTCACCGCGCCCGATGTGCGGGGTGGGCTGTCGTCGCCCATTCCGAGATCCAGGAGGTCCAGCCTAAAGCCGGGATGGGTATGATCGGGTCGCAGGGTTCACGATAGCTCACTCCAAATGGTTGATACATATATATATATATATATATCGATCTCCACAAAACTAGTTGGACTCCTCCAATTGGTGGCGGTTTTCCGCTCCAAAGTGTTCCCCTCCAGGAAGCGGCCAAAAGGCGAGCCCCTCAACATGGATCCTTCCCGCACAGAAACAACCCCCCCCCCCGGCTTTGCTCCCGGAGGCTAGAATTTGCGATTTTCGCTTGCCTGCGTCCCAGCCTCTCCGGCCTGCGAACTGAAAGTAAGCCTGCGAAGGGCCTTTCCGGACCTGCTCATGAATATGTTGCGATGGGTCAAAACCCAAATCGTACCCCCAGTGAACATCCCAATCCCCACTAAAATAGACTGAAATGGGTGGTGCACCTCCCCAAAATGGTACCATTGGTTTTGAACCATGGCCATTTGCAAACTGATCAATCTAGCGCTTGAAATAGCGGAGGTTCAGTGAGCTCGACTCCTCTCCCAGCGCGGAACAAGAAACATCCCATCAACGCCCTAGAAGAAACGATGAACCAGGATCAGACCGGCTTTGAAAAGGCAAGTCTGAGACCAAACTGCCATCCAGCAAATCCGAAAAATCCAAAAAAAATCCAAAAAAAATAATTATTATTAAAAAAAAAAAAAAAAAAAAAAAAAAAACCAGCTCATTCCATACCCCCTACCCCGTGTCTATCCGTCCATGGGCCGGCGGGGGCCCGGGGGCCCGGGGCCCCGGACCCTCCACTGCCATTCCTGCGCCATGGGATCCCGTGGGAGAAGCTCCAGGAAAGATGTCTCCACTCCCATGTGCCAATATCTTAAAACGAGAATACACATGCAACTCATATTATGTATATATATATATATATATGGATAGTGTAAATAGACACATGCATTGTGTTATCTCGCTTTACGCATTCTTCCTTTGCTTGTTCAGTGCGAATGCGCAAACTGTCCTGATTGCGTATCTCTTTCGGTCCTAAGACATTAGTTGGTACCTTCTGCTGCCTGTGAGAGGAATCAGCAGAGTTGGCTTTCCTGACAAGCTTGCCTGGCTCTGCCTATGTTCCCCAAACGACACTCTGGCCCACGAATCAAAGAGGCGCTCACGTGCGAGGCCGGCCGCGCCTGCCAGCGTCAGGACCTCTTTCCAGCTCCTCCTGGACCTGGCCGAAACCAAAAATCGAAAGCTTGCCATGTGAGTATGCCTTGTGTTGAAGGTACACTGTTCGTTCTTGTTTGATGCAAACCCACATCTGCAATGGGCCTGCAGCAAAGGAATGCGCTATGCATCCTCTGGCCAAAACATGTCATACCACTTGCATCAATGTCTTGGAACACACCCCGAAAGCAGTCGGTGGTCGCCAGTTGGTGGAATCGGCTATGCCTTCAACCTTCAGCTAGCTTCAGTCGCTTTCATGAGCAGAGTTTGCCTGTCGCCCAAACGGAGTGCCTGAGATGTGCATTGCAATCCCATGAAAGGGTGGACAATAGTTTTTGGAAAGTCTTTTCGCATGTGAGACCCACAAGCCAAGCAAAAAGCCAAAACCCGCCTCGCGCCGGCTCGCTTGCCGGTCCTCTTCGTCCAGGTCGTCGTCCTGCGACGATTGCGGCCGAAAAGGGCCAATTGCAGGATCACGCGGGCCTCGCAGCTGGATCAGTGCCCTTGATTGCCAACTGCTCTTTTTTCTGACAGCTGCTGACCCCAACCGCTAGAAGATTCTCCTCCCAAGCCGGGCAAAGATCAGGTGACCTTGAGTCCACAACTCTGGAACTGGCGGTCTGCTGAAGCACAGCAGCCTTCCCATGCAGAGCACGAACCAAACTGATCTATCGAAGGCAAGGCGCAAGGCGGTATGGATCACGCAGGGGCCAAGGTTTCCTGGGAGGTTTCTCTCACCAGCCGTTATGGCTGCTTAACTTCCCATGGAGTTGGATGGCCGCTTCTGTTGGGATCAGGGCAATCATTGAGGACCAATCATTGCAGGGCATCCAAACCGGATTTTGAGCCCTCGATCATCAAAGCGCAACAGTCAGGCAAGCATATTTGCCTTCATCAACCAGAACAGTCACAAAGGCACCATGGTCCCTTGAGATAGCCAAGACCGCAAGGCAGCCACATAAACTGAACCGTCATACTCCAAGTGCCACTGGCTGTGCAACACATGCGCAAAGAGATCCAAAAGCTTGCAAAGCAAGGATGTGGGATTCGACGCACATGAAAGGAGGGGACCCCTCAACACATTTCTGCACTTTTTTGGGGCTGGGAGGTTGCCACTCTTTGCACTAGTGATCGGAGTGAGAGGACTTCGTCCGTACTCTTGGGGATCAAGAATTGTCGAGACAGGAAAGTCCAGGCCTCCCTTCTCGCAACGGCCATCGAGACCCTTGCAACCTTTTACGAAGCAAAATCTGACATCCTTGAACAGTCTCAAGCTTGCCAAAACAACAAATCAACACATCGGTATGGATCACCCGCAATGTCTATTCCCGCCTGAGCCTTCTCATCTGCCCCGCTGGGAGTCACTGCAAGCCTGGCCCCGGTGACCCAAGTCACCCGCGAAATACAGCAGGAGGTTAGTCCGAAATCAAGATGTGATTGGCCATGACATCCACCCCAAAGGAGAGCACAAAACAAACCGGTTCAAGTCGCAGACCCAGGCATAGCTTGAAAGTGTGCATTCACAATGCATTGCCGGCGGGCTAAGTTCGTCGCCAAACAAAACGGAGCGAAACTATTTGCCAGGCTGCGGACTGGTTTGCTACTCAACCATGGCGAGAACAAACAGGCCAGGAGCATGCCTGTCTCGTTTCCGCCCGCAGCCTCGTTTCCGCCCGCAGCCCGCCTTGTCACAAACTCCTCGGCGTATTTATGGTACACCTCGGCAACTGATTCAGCGCCGATTGCCGCAGATCTTAGCCCAACTCCTCGTCCAATTATGCTCAAAGGTCATTGCAAAGCCAGTGGCACAGACTGGGTCAAAATGCCACCAGCAGGGGACCGCAGGTTTCAGTCATTGTTTTCATTTAGCACCTTTGTTCTTGACCCACGCCCATTTCTGGAGTCCACTTGGGCGTCCTTTGAGGGCCAAAGGCCAGCCCGGGGAATCCTGGCGCTGCTCATCAGCGACAGCTCGCTGGAAAGCTTCTCGAGCAGGTTCTTGTCCACGGACTGGCCAATTGTTGCCCTATGTTGGGGGAAGCCAAGCAGCCAACCCACCCACCCACCCACCCAGCACGCAAGCAAAGCAAGCAAAGCAAAGCAAAGCAAAGCAAAGCAAAGCAAGCAAGCAAGCAAACAAAGCAAGCCAAGCAAGCCAAGCAAGCCAAGCAAGCCAAGCAAGCAAACCGAAAGCAAGAACCCAACCGAACCCAACCGAACCCAACCAAACCCAACCAAACCCAACCAAACCCAACCAAACCCAACCACCAAACCCAACCCTACCAACCCTGCAACCATGCCCCATAGCAAGATTAAAATTGTTTGCTTTCTGGTGTGACAAATAAACCATCCAAACCCCAATTCCGGTCACCACACAATTGTGCGGTCGCAGGCAGGGCCATCCTCATTACATTTCCCAAGCCACGGCGGCCACATCAACCAGGCCAAGGAACCCGGGCAATCTCCAGTCAATGAGTCCAACGGTCATTATTCAGCCTCAAATAAGTTGACCCTGTGGTGCACATGAATTTTGGCCGCCCACTGAGCACACACAGGGAAGGAAGGGATACCATCCTGAAGCTTCCATCGGGCCGACCAAAACGGTTTGCCATTTCACAAACACCGGCCAGACCATGTGGTGTGGCGTTCCATTTTCCAAGACAAGGACCAATCTGCTGGGCCCGGCCTGCGAGTCGTCGCGGAGGGAAGGCTTGTCGCCCAGCACCTCGGCTCTCGGCTGGCAAGCCGAAACGCCCCAGGGTCCGAAGCCTGGGGCGACTGATTGAGATGAGGGGTGTGGCTTCCGCTTGTTCCTTGTAGCCTTGGTGCTGAGCGCTGGAAGCATGTTGCAGGAGCATCAGCTTGAACTTTGGACCTTTCATGCCAGTCCCAATATGGTTCCCTGAGATCAGGGTTTCGAAAGCAAACGCTGCTTCAGGAAATGCCTTGGCGCTCATTCTGCGCATTCCTCCGTTCGTCCGTTCGAAAGGGGCAATAGCACCACTAGTGATGCTTCCCCGTCAGTTTTTCGCGTGCTTCAGCCCAACAACCATCATGCTGCTTTCAGTCAACTGCTGTCTGGCAGTTTTGGACTTACTGCGCTGGACTGACGAAGTAACAAAGGGTGTTCCGCTCTGGACTGATTCGACAGCTCACTTTGAAGCATCTGCTTGACAGTTGGGTATGCCTCTGCTGCCACGTCTGCAGCGCTTTGACTCATAAGATGATGAAATCGGGATGTTTGGGATGCTTGGGGGATGAAAGGGAGGATGCTTGGGTGCTGCTCAGGGGGGGTGCTGCTTGGGGGGGGGGGGTTGGGGGGATGCTTGCAGATTCTTGAGTGGGCTCCCAAAAGTGAATTTTCAGGAGCATGTCCAGTTGCTGAGCCGAATTGCCACAATGTCCGCAAATTGGAGGGGAGACCGTGGCACGAAGCCGAGATGCTCCGAGCCAAAAAAGGAACTCCTCAAGAAAAAGGTTGAAGGAACATGTTTGCAGCTAAACGTCGGCTCCCAAACCGAACTTTCGAACATGGGGCTCTCGAAGTGGCCTTCTACGGGAATTGTGAGCCGAAACCCAAAGTCCCTAGAAATTGCAAAACTTGTCAGCCTAGATCGCGAGCGCTCGACGTGCGCGCACACGGGCAAGTCAGGACTAGGGCCCCCTGCCACCCGCTTTGTAGCCTCCGGGTTCGTAGCCAAGAGCCGCCAGTAGATGTACCCTGGCCGACAAAAGCTGCAACGCCTCAAGTCCATGCCACATGCTCCCCAAAGTATTTGGGCATGGCGGGTGCCTTCTTGCGGGGAATCAGCAGGCTTGGGCTCACTTGGCAAGTTTCGGCAGAATCCGCAATGTCGCCTCTGTCTCGCAGATCATGATTGGTTGACTCCTGCCACGGCACGCTGATGCTGGTGCCGGATGCTCCAGATTTCTGCCACATGGAATGCCATTGGTCTTGGAGGACACCTCGTTGGCTCCATCCAGGTATATATTGAAAGAGTACCAAGAGTGGGCTCCACAGTGCAACGGATCAGATCCAAATCCTGGTGTCTCCGAGCCGTTGCCCCAATGATCCCTCAGTAGACCTCGGGAACCATAGCCCCAGTCCAGGGGTGCCCAATCCCGCGCCCAGTCGGCCCATACCCTCCCTTCCGGCTCCTCCGTGGCGCACTGAAGCACTTTGGAAACCATGTCCTGCGTGCTGGACGGCTTCCTCAGCAAGCAAAATCGACAAGGTGATGGCAACTATAGCTCATGCAGGGAGCCTTCTTCGAAGAGCTGGTTCCACAAACCAGGTGAGCTCGCCGATTTGGCAAAATGGTTCCTTGCACCTAAAGTTTTGTGATAGCTCTGGAGAACCAGTAGGCTTTCATCCAAACACTCTGTTCGGGCTGCCATGCTCTTTGCACCTTTGAGGTTGCAAAAAGAGCATTCCAGCAAGCGGGCGTGCATAGCAGGGTTCGCTTTCCGCGAAATCACAATCCACCCCTCAGGGGATCTCTCACCGCGACAAAGTGATTTGTGGGCAGCTTTTAACAAATTGTGAAACAGCTCCTTCGGAGGTCCCAACCTTTAAGTCGAGGGCGTACCATCCAATTCTTCCGAGCGGCTGCAAGAAAAGCTTTACGATGGCCGTCAGAAGCTGCATCTGCACCTCTGGCGCAGCTGGCTGGAATCTCCCACGCTCTCTTTGGCGCCTCTATGGTCATCGGGAGGGAGCAGGGGCTTTGTGCTAGTTGGTCTTTGCATACAAATCCACCTTTTGAGCCTGTGTGGAATGCCACATAGAGGTTCCAAGAAATTTGCTTCTTGGGAGCTACAAGCTGCCCAAGTGCCTTCCTTTGCCTCAGCCCATGAACCAACTGTTGCGAATGAAACCTTCCGCGAGGCACGCCGAAAAAAATGCGCACCAATTGGAGGACATCTGCCGGTTGGGGGTGTTTCTTGGCATGCGCTCGTTTCGCGCCAAGTCCCACAAGCCATCAGACGCACAAAATACAACTTCAAACAGAGTGGCCATCGGTGAGTTGCTTCTTCATCCTTCTTCCCTCCTGCTCACTGCTCCAAATCCAGTTCGCTTGAGCGGAGGAATTTCCACGCACCTGCTCCAACATGTGCATGGGAACTCTCCAACTGAAAGTTGCCATCCGCTTGCCTGCACTTATCATACGCAGGAGCCCGCCCAGGCGGAGTTGAGTGAACCTATATGAACTGCACAGCCGAAACGAACCGAAGGCACGATCTCCTTTCTGCATCTTTTACCCCCCACCCCCCGCCCGGAAAGAAAAACAAAAAGGTGCCATGTGGAATCAATCGGTCTGAGATGTCCAACACAACGCTCGATGGCCCAATCTCGGGGAACAGGCCATCAGCGGCTCATCGTGGAAGGAGTCGAGGAAGGACTCCAACAGCTCGTCGGAGTTGTCGATCCTGAATCAAACGACGAGGGCCTTTTTCGGGATCCGGGATGCATCCCGGCAAGGACCTCTGGCTGATGGTTGGATCAACTCTTTAGTGGGGATACTGATCACGGGCCTGGCGCCAACAAGAACGTTTCAGGCAGGTCACTCAGAGGCAAAAAGAGACATGCCACGATGCGGACAGTCTCTGGAACATGCCTCTTCTCTGGAGCAATCACTTGAAAGCTTAACTACTTTCTGCTCATGCTTGCCCATGTTGCATGGGATTTGTTGCTTGCTGTGACACGCACAGGGTTCATCATCCAGTCTAAACCTGTGTTTTGCGAATTTGCCGGTGGGGTCGCAGGTTCGCTGGTTGCTTGCTGCCCAGGCGCCCAGCCTGGGAATTCAGCCCAAGAAGTAAAGAACAAACCCCTGCGCACGACCCGAACTCGCCAAGCTCCCTGCCTGCCCGCGTACTCCCCAAGGATCCAGATCATGGAGGCCTGGGCCGGCATAAGGAAAGAGGAGTTCACGGACGTGTCTTTTTGATGTGTGCTGATAATTGGGAGCCCGCCAATGGGACGACCGGCCCAATAAAAACAAGTTGATGCCAGTCCAAACAATGGACAAATCAAAACAGGTGGATTGGCACTAGAGGCCGAAATGTTGTATTCCCCCAAACGCTTTAGAACAATTTGCCCCAGAATGCGGCGGCCTTGGCGCCTTGCATCCCCTGTTCCGAAGAGTAGCACCAAACTCCCTTCGCAGGTGGAAGCAACTCAATCTCCCCTTCAAAACTGCTCCCCTCCCGCAGGAAAATCGGCCTGTCTTGTCACCCCACCTCTTCCCCAACCTGCCTGCCAGCCCGGACAAGGAAGAACAAACCAACGCTGCCACTCACCCCCAGCCCCCACTCCACGTGAGAAGGCACCCGCCTTCGCCTCAGGCTCATCCAGCACCTCCATAGACTCGCACAAGGCCGAGAGCACCTCCCAGCGGTAAAGAGTGGACAGTCCACGGAAGCGGCAAGTCGCAATCTTCATGCGGCAGAACCCTCCCCCTCCCAGGCCTGCTCGTAGCGAGAGGGATACTTGCGGAAGATGTCCTGGCAGCCGGAGCGACTTGCACTGCCAAGATGCTTGGCTACTTAGCTAGTGGACCGCGTCGAAAAAGGCTAGAGCTTCAAAGGGCGTACCTGCCACAAAATGGCTTTGTAGTCTGAACACGAAAAATAACGTCTACCAACTCTCACAGGGATCAGCATCTTGCCGCAAGGGCGAGGGAAACTCCAACCTCTCGGTTCCCACGGAGCCGGCCGAGGAGCAACACCGGCCCTCGACTCTTCACCCTCCACGTGTCCTTCACCACCACGCAGGACTCCTGCACGACGTAATTCACCTCGCACGGCGGGCTATGCCCTGCTTGGACCCCCGATATGGGGGAGGGTGGGTCGCTCGGTCTGCATGCTTTATGGGCTCTAAACCAAAAGGGAAGCGGGGGTCAATAAAGCACACTGAACTCACCGGATCCAGTTGCACAACTCTGGAAAGCATGCTGCCTTGGTTTCAATCAGCTCCAGGAGCACGTTCATGGCCCGCTCGCAGGCTCGCTCCAGCTTCACCTAAGCTTGCTTGCGACTTGCTAGGGTGGGAATCGGGAATCCTTGCATCCACAACAGCCACCAGTGGCTAAGAAGGCTTTAGCTAATGCATGTTTATGGTAAATGCAATGGAAGGGAAGGAACCCTGGTGCTGTTGGCACCTTCCAAACACAAGCGTGCATGTGTTGCAGCTCAAGCAGCGACAGGTCCAAACCAAAACACAGGAACCTCGATGACAAGAAACACTTGACAGTGAGGAAGGGGCTGCCTTTTGCCCGATCAGGCTCAGAAAAGCAAGCGGCAAACGCAAGCTATAGAGAAGAACGAAGAAAGGTGTAAAGGCAAGGAAGGAAGTAAAAGCAGGCATAGAAGGCAATATAAAGGAATCCATAGAGGACGGAGGATGCTGTAGAGGGAACGGAATCGGTCGGGCAAGAAAGCTGTACCTATTGGACAGATCAGCATGAAGGCAAAGGAAGGTGCAGGCCACAGAAGCTGAAGCGGGAATTCAATGAATAGATTTGTGAACAGCTTGTGGGCAAATGGAAACCGGAGATATGGGAAATTGCAATGCCAAAAGGACGCACAGAGGGTAATAAAAGAACTGGTGGTAGAGGCAGAAAAGAAACGGCACTGGGCCGTTGCACCTTGTTCCTTTGTTGCGGTTCACTTGCAGTGGTAGGAGACGGTTTCCTTCTCTCGGTGTACGTAATCTCTTCGCCAACTCACGCTCGCCGCTTCCGGGTGGTGTCGTTCGGAGCAGCTCTCGGCTGAAACACGATGCAAGCTCTTTTAAAAATGTTCTGCCCTTTGGGCGTTTTTGAGAACCGCAAATGATTGGTAAGACAGTGGAAAGTGCATCGCCATCCCCCTGAAAAAGTATGGCACCCGTTGAACCCTCTCTTGTGTGGCATCAAACAAAACCAAGGCAAATCAACCATTGACGACTGTCACCGATTCTGCCCTTTATGTACTTGCACTATGTATAAATATATAATATATATATATATATATATTTTTCTCTCTGGTACAGCGTCGCCAGTCCCCCCACCCCAATGGTCATGGGTCCCCCCTGTAGTTGTGGTCCTGTGGTTGGGTTGTGGTGGTTTAGGGTTGGTTTAGGATTGGTTTAGGGTGTATTTAGTGCATTTATGGTTAGTTTGGGGTTAGTTTAGGGTTGGCTTATGTTGATTTAGGATTGGTTTAGGGTTGGTTTAGGTTTAGGGTGTATGGTTTGGGGTTTGGTTTAGGGTGTATTTAGGGTTAGTTTAGGGTTGGTTTATGTTGATTTAGGGTTGGTTTAGGTCAGGGTTTCTTGTTTAGGGTGTATTTAGGGTTAGTTTAGGATTGGTTTAGGGTTGGTTTAGGTTTAGAGGTTCATGGTTTGGGGTTTGGTTTAGGGTTTGGTTTACAGTGTATTTAGGGTTGGCTCAGGTTCAAGCGACGCCCAGGACTCACAAGGCGCCGACTGGAACAGGCACTAGCACGACAAGCCCTAGCACTTTGTCAGAGTGACAGCGAAAAGCAGAAAAATATTGTAAGTAATATAGACTTGCCTTGCTGAGGGAGGAGTGGAGAAACACGCACGCAAGAAGTTCTGCAGGAAGACGATGGGCAGACTGCTAGACAACGAGTAAGAATTCCGAGGAAAGCCAGCGACATGGTCATGGTCTTCCCCGCCCGCCGAATTCTGCCGGAATTCTCACGGAATTTTGACGGAATTCTCACGGAACTCTAGCGGGCCTGGCGCGCTGTTCCCGTGGTCTTCCTATAGTCTTCCCATAGTCTTGCCAGAGTCTTCCCTTAGTCTTCCCTTCCCGCCGAACTCCGACGGAATCCTCTCTTCCCGTACTCTTCCCGTAGTCTCCCACACTCTTCCCGTAGTTTTTTTTTCCGTAGTCTTCTTGTGATGTCTTCCCATCGTCTTCCCGTACTCTTCCCTTCCCGCCGAATCTTGATGGAATTCTCACAAGTTTTTGCGAAATTCTCACGGCGCACGGAATTCTATCGGGCCTGGCGCGCTCTTTTTGTAGTCTTCCGAGTCTGCCCGTAATCTTCCCGCAGTCTTCCCGTAGACTTCCCACATTCCTTCCGTCGTCTTCCCTTCCCGCCAAATTTTGACGGAACTCTCACGGATATTCGACGGAATTCTCACGGAAAGCGGGCCTCGCGCGCTCTTCCCGTAGTCTTCCCGTAGACTTCCCACATTCCTCCCGTAGTCTTCCCTCCCCGCCGAACTCCGAAGGAATTCTCACGGAATTTTGACGGAATTCTCACGGAACTCTAGCGGGCCTGGGGCGCTCTTCCCGTAGTCTTCCCGCAGTCTGCCCATAGTCCTCCCGTAGTCTTCCCATAATCTTCCCGCAGGCCTGGCGCGCTCTTCCTGTAGTCTTCCCACAGTCTTGCCGTAGTCTCCTTTCCCGCCGAATTCTGACAGAATTCTCACGGAATTTTACCAGAATTCTCACGGACCTCTAGCGGGCCGGAATTCTATAGTGGGCCTGGCGCCAGCTTTTGGTAGTCTCCCGAGACTGCCCGTAGTCTTCCCGTAGACTTCCCACATTCCTTCCGTCGTCTTCCCTTCCCGCCAAACTCTCACGGAAATTTGACAGAATTCTCACGGAAAGCGCGCTCTTCCCGTAGTCTTCCCGTAGACTTCCCACATTCCTCCCGTAGTCTTCCCTCCCCGCCGAACTCCGAAGGAATTCTCACGGAATTTTAACGGAATTCTCACGGAACTCTAGCGGGCCTGGGGCGCTCTTCCCGTAGTCTTCCCGCAGTCTGCCCATAGTCCTCCCGTAGTCTTCCCATACTCTTCCCTTCCCGTAGTCTTCCCGTAGTCTTCCCCGCCCGCCGAATTCTGCCGGAATTCTCACGGAATTTTGACGGAATTCTCACAGAACTCTAGCGGGCCTGGCGCGCTCTTCCCATAGTCTTCCTGTAGTCTTCCCATAGTCTTCCCACAATTGTGAAATAAAATGCTTCTTGTGCTTCGCAACATACTCCTTTTGTCAAAATGCTTCTTGTGGATCCTTGTCGTGCAACAGCCTGTCCCTTGTGGTTGTTTTGCAAAAGCTTGTCGCTGTTTGTGAAAAAGAGTCGGTGCTTGAACACCACTTCTTTAGATTAGGGTTGGTTTATGGTTGGTTGCGGGTTGCCTTGTCCTGGGGGTGGGGGTGCCGGGGTGTCGGGGTGCCCAAATGGTCGGGGTGGGGGTGGGACCGTAGATGCCAGGATCCGGGGGCTCGGGGGGGGGGGGGGTTCCATCTGAGGAGGGGGGGGGGGGGGGGGGGGGGTATGAACACGGAACGCGGGACCATATATACACACATGCAGTAATGTACTTGGCATCATGTGTACACATTGTATTGATACAAATTTTCTATATACAATATAGACACATATACCTTCCCAGAGTCCCTTCGGTTCCTCAAGGCCCAGCCCCCACTTGCCGGGCTGCTGCCACTCGCCCGATGGAACGCACGGATTTTCGCACGAACTCCACATCGACGCCTGCCAAGTCCCGCACTGTGGATGGAAAGTTCTAAGGGAAGCCACCCGTTTTGGGGCTCGGAGACAAACCCATTTGGCTTTTGACAAGACAACCAGCGAGTGACAAGAGAACCCCAAACAAGTGGTTCCTACCAAGCTCATAGCCTTGCAAAGTGATTATGCCTTGCCTGAGCCACAAGCAGCTCTCAACACATTCGCCGAGAACCGGATGTAAATGATGCATAGATCCGTGTGGCATACTGACGTACCTTTCTAAGCATGTCACAAAGGCCTCAGTGTTGTTTGGAAAATCTGGTCTTGCTGTTGCTAGTTCACCTTGTACGATCTACCTAATCCACCGCCATCCCTGGGACCCGAAACACGGGGTGGTGCTTTCTCGCCGACTTCCAGCAGTGGAGGCCAAGAGCAACTACTGGGCAAACTCAGAGAAAGGACCCAAGGCAAGGTCCCCAAAAGACTCTTCTCAGGATGATGGTGCTTTGGACATGCTTCAGGCGTACTGAACTGGGCATGTTTGACTGGGCAGCCTCGGACTGGGCGCCTCATGCCAGCCTCTGACTGATCCGTTCAACTCAAGGCCACTGGGAGCGCATGGCGATTTGGTCCGGGGGTGTTCAATCTGCGGTCACAAGAGAAGCTGCACGTAGGCAGGCATGGTTCCCTCTCCTGAGACTTGTTGTCAATTCCCACAGGGGCGCGAAACAGCACCTCAAAGCCATCCACACTCCAACAGATCTCTGGGCACCGGGCCAGAAGCGTACTCTTTCAGTTCCAGGAGGACCTGCCAGAGCCCCCATGTCCCCAATAGGCTGCCAATGTTTCAGTGACTCAAGTGTCTCTAGGTGTCTCTTGCTCTACCTATAGACTATAGACCGATGTGAAACCAGGGGTGGCTCCAATTCTTATTGGCAGGCCAATGTGTTTATGTGAGTTGGCCTCCAGTTTAAGGACCCAGTTCCAGTGATCTCCAAGCACGGGGGTGGGCCTATGCTTAAGCAGTCTGAAAAGTGGAAAGGCTCATCCCGTTTACAAAGGCAAAGGAACGTGTGCCAACTCTCGCCCCGGCATTGATTTGTCGAAGCTCCCGTCAAAATGACGACACTCTTGCGGGTTTTCGTCGGGTGCCGCGACAAAATAGCTGGTCGCCCACAGCATTCGATGCTCGGCTTCCAGCCCGACACCTTCTGGCAAGTTTCCCACAAAAGGCCATGGGTCACTACATGTTTGCGTGACGGTTCATATCCTTCCTCTTCAACCACTTCCATTCCAAAAGCAGAAGAGCAGCTCTCTCATGTGTTGAAATCTGGAGCAGTCCTCGCACTGACCTGGACCTGTGCTGGACCCTCTGCTGGACCCCTGCCTTCCCTGCCCGTGTTTGCTGAAGACCGCCCCCCCCTCCCCCCCCCCTCCCGCCACCCCCCCATGCCAACGGTCAAGCCTGGTCAAAGTTCTTGTCAGACACCAGCATGCACATGATGTCGACCTTAGTGCCATGTTGCTGTCGAGTCCACGGGCAACAAGCTGTGTAGCGATTTTGGGTGTTTCCGGCATGGGGTCCCTCCCCCCCCCTAGGGAAAACAGATTCACCCGTGTTGACTTTCACACATCGTCTGAAAGAGTTTCCGTCCAATTTTCAGGAAACTCACAAGAGGGTAAAGTTTGGCGCACCTTGTAAGCCACAGTCAATGTGTTCTGAAGATGCTTCCTTTGATGACTGATTCTTCCCAACAGCCGATGCGTCAAGGTTACCTGAACGGCGGGTCCCGACTGACATGAATGGGATTCTCCAAGCTGAACCATTCAATGTAGATCCCAAATTCAGAGCCTCTTGAAATGATATCCTCATAGATGTGAGCCCCCAGCCCGGGCCGCATCCCAACGCAAAGGTTCGAGCCTTCTCAAGCTTGACGTAGATCGGGTCGTTGTACTTGCAGAAGAACATCTTGACCTGTTTGAGGTGGCGGACAGGGCTGCAGCTTGCAACACTTTTGCAGGGGTTCTACATCTGGTCAAGCTAGCTTGTAGTTTGCACGATGCTCTTGCAAGGGCTGGGGCATTGACATCTCTGAGCATGTTGTTCAGTTGAGGGTTTAGCCAGCTCTTGTTGCTCTTGTTGCAAGACCAAGCCCAAGTCCAGTTTCACACCAACAAATGTATTTTCAATCTGCCCGGGCATGGCGCACGGCTCTTATTCGGCCAGAAAGCCTCGGGGCTACACAAATCTGCCGAGGCGCGTCCGAGGCGAGGATGCCGGGACGCTTCTGAACCTAGGCTCTTCGGCGTTGGTCCACGGGATGCAAAGCCAGGGCAAGTGGAAAAACACGCCTGGTGTCAAATGGAGAAGAAGTCTTTCCAATAGTTTGATTGTTTTGCTTCAATCATGTGCTGGTTGTTGACAGCATTCTGTGCGGAAAATGATCTTCCTAGCTGTGATTCTTCGCCATGAACCGCCCAGACCTCAGGAGCCAGATGGGAGCTGTGCTCAGTGGGTCAGTTCCCTGCACAGTGGTCCTGTCAACTTCTTTTCACTTCAAGACCATGTGAAGGCCCCTACTAGCAATTGACTGAATGAACAGCTCGAATTCTGGCCACCACCTGGATAAATCCTCAACCTGGCGATACGCTCTCACGTCAGCCGCAATGTTGGGTCCAAAGTGTGGCCATGCCAGTAAAAACAATTGGAAGAAAGCCGACATAGATTGAACGCGTTTGCAAGCTTGATCACCAACAGCAGGCCAAAGAGCCCTTGTTGATAAAACCGGCCCACAAAGCCAGGTCAAATAGACGAAACGGATAAACACTTGATAAACACACCAAATTGAATAAGCCAAGTTGGGCTTGATTGATGCAAAAATCCCGCACAGGCCATGGTCAGAATTGGTCGTGGCCTTATGGACGTGGGAAAGGAGAAATTCCAACATCCGATTGTAGAGTTAAGAATGTGCCCTGCCAGTCTTTCTCGTCGAACGTCTCGATCAACGGAACCGAGTCCGCCACTATGAGCCTGATGTTCCGCAGTGCGACATACTGCACCTGGCGCAAACAATGCAACTAACCTTGTGTAAAAGGAATCTTGACCAGCCCTAGCCCCCCTTCCCCAAAACGCCCTAGCGTTACAAAACATGGAGCCTCCCAGCAAACCATCCAGCTGGGAGAACCTCTCGCCAGAATATTGTCCGACCAGATCGCTGCCGCAAAATCTTCGAAGCAAACTGTGCTCGAGATTGGCCATGGCCCGAGCTCTGTGACATATGGGGATGTCCCCTGGTCACAAACCAGACCTTGACTGGCCGAGAAAACATCGGCCTTGTCACATAGACTAGAAGCCCTGAGTTACAACTGAGGGGGAGAGCCTCAAACCTCAGGTTGGCATCCGAGATCCGAACTTCTTGAGGCGGCTCACAGGCCAAGCAAGTGTCAAAACCGGTTGCACACCTCCAAGCGACGACGGATTCCTTCCGGCTCCTTTCAAGACCATGAACCCAAAAAATTCGAACCGGAACTCCACACAAGTCTCATACTACCAGGCGAAAGAAGGGGTACACAATAGCGTGCGATGTGTCTGTCCAACTGGTTGTGTCGTTTGTTTGACGTCACCCTCCTTGGGGGTAGTTTCAAAGGGGCTCAATTCCTTAACAGGCCTCGGGCTTCGCCTGAACCCCCCACCTCCGGCTCGCTGGATAGCAGGGTCACCAGCGGGGGGTTCAGCTTCTTCGCGAGCATCCGCAGCACCTACGAACAACCAAGGTATGCATTTGGACACTCGTCCCACCTGGGACTGTTTATTGTGGCCGACATGGCCCAGACCCCGGTGGATGTTTTGCTAGCTCAGAGACACGCACCACTATGCCCGCCTCCTGTCCTCGGAGTCACTGCATGGGAATATGGGAAGCGGGTCACCAGGTAGTTCAGGGGCTGACGACCATGCCTACTTTTCCCACGCAACCAGACGTTTTGCCTACGGCGCGGAGGACATTGGTAAAGGCCCCTTTTGCAATGGACTCCAGGTTGACTGTTCACTTCAGAAAGATTGACATTGCTGAATCAGGTGTCCTTCCCAATTGCCAAGAGCCGCTGGCTAAAAACTGACAGACGCCTGAAAAGGCGAAGAACAACACAGGTTCCGGCAATCTCCACCTTTGTGTAGAACTGAAGACGGCAGCTTGAATCAAGCCTATCCCAAGAACCAATGGGCTGAGGTTGCTGGACGCCTCGAGTCTGGGAAAATTATATCATATATGGGCCGGCAGGTAAGCGCTGGCATGCCTGGTTCGTCTGATGTGGGCATCGTAAAGAACCCGCCCCCTGGAGCTAGCTTCTTTATAAATAGATCGACGAATCTTCGGAACCTGGGCAATGTGTTACATCTGTGCTGTCACTTTACCCCGTAAGCCCAGCGTGTTCGGTGTAAGTCTACCCTCCCAATCGCAGGGGCAAACGCGTGTAAGCATTTGGGCGTTTCGGAGCGGCGCCTCGGGATTCTCGGTGTGCTCCATGCAACGGAGGATCACCTCAGGCCGGAGCCGAGGTCCAAGCTGAAACCGGAAGACGAAAGCCAAACGAAGCTGCAGGATGTTGCGGATGTGTGGGGCACAGAACTGGAAACCCATGTCTGTGGTTGGGTCCTTGCCTTGACCCCTCCTCGCCTTGATGGCAGTCAGCACCACTGCAGGATTGGCATGGGACAACCTGCGCCATCACCCCCAGGCGCCCTCGGACCCTCCAGAACTCGCCCTAGTCGACCCCATGGGTTCTGTGATGCCGGCAAAGCAAGCTGCGGCGCTCAATGGCCCCGTCTGAAGTGCCCCACAGAAAGTCTTGGCAGTGAGAAAAAGGTGTAACCTGTTTACCCGAAGCACTGGCAAGATTTCAACGAATTTGTAAGTGATGAAACATGATGGCACTGGCTTGCGTTAAGGGATCACAAATGCCCAGTGCCCAGCCTGCCGTAGTTTCCCTCTTAACCAACCTCCGCGCCCCTGAAGACCAACAAGGAACCCTTGTTTCCGCTGGATCTTTTCGCAAAATACACCTCTTTCGCCGGAGATTGATGCGTGAAGGCTGTGCCTGTCAGTGAGTGCAAATGCTTGGAAAGCGCCAGCGCAAGCCTGGCTGTTTCTCCCAATGGCGTCGCCAGGGGAAGTCGTAAGGTACTCGGCAAAATAACTATGTTTGCCCAACTCCAAGTTGCGGCAACTGGAGATGCATGTTTCATCCTTCCACCTTCTGAACTCACCTTGCCCCTGAAAAGAAGATAAAAATTACGAAGAGCTTGGCTTACTCCTACAATCACCACTGAAGTCGGGGTGAAAAATACCCCACCACCTCATTCCAACATTTTTTCAGGCTCAGAAGGGGCCGCGCAAACCCGGGGCCGCAAACCCCCCGCGCCTGGCGGTGACTCGCTCCGAGATGGACTCCGCGTCGCTGGGCCCAGAGGGATCTGGGCCGGTGAGGCGGGGGGGAAGGGAGGAGCAAACCCTTGGTTGAACCACGGCTTAACTGGCCATGGGGCAAAATCCAAATCGTACCACCAGTGGACATCCTAATCCCCACTAAAAAAAGGTAGACTAAAATGGGTGGTGCACCTACCCCAAAATGGGACCATTGGATTTGACCCACAGCCAATTGTTTTATCGATCATCTCTTGAACAATCTTCTTTAGATGCCCCTTCGAAAGGGCGAGGGGTTGGTTGAATAAATTGTGCCCAAGAGGTGGGGTCTGCGACAAGGACGACTGGACACCTTTTCCGGACCACTTTGAACGGAGACCAAGATGGACCCAGCGTATAATGACGCCAACCTTGGCGAGGCTTGGACAAGTCAATTGCTAGTTTGAACATGCAAATAATGTTGTGTTGGAACCCATGCTGATGACAAACTTTGCGCCCTCCTGACCATCATGCAGAAATACTGTCCCGACAAGAAAAGATTATTTGTGGGTGGCAGCTTTCTGAATTCAGGATTGTGACACTTGCAACATACATTGAGTACTGGTTGGCCTTGTCATTGCAACAGGACATGATAAGAGATGATAGGGCATGAATGTTGCCGCGCTTTCCAGACTAGATACAATGAACTCTGCTCGACTCTGCTGATTGACCTTTGAGCTTTAGAAAAATTGGTCAATGAAACAGGCGCGCTCATCCGCTCCCCGCCGCGGCTGAAGAAAAAGTGAAAAGGATCCATTCGGCTCAACAACGCGGGCCAAGCACGTTTTAAGTTGGCCCCTGTAATTTGAACCCAGGATCGATAAACCCCAGCTTGATCAGTAGGGGGTGTCCTATTGAAGAGAATATAGCACGCTGCGATACAGCACCTCCTTTCAACGAGAATCGGGAGAGGGCAAGCATAGCTTTGCAACGAACCACGTGTTACCCTCACTTGCAAGACAGGGGGGGGGGGGCTTCTGAGATGCCCATCCAAAAAGATCTGGGAGAGTCCTAACATTGCAAGCCACGGAGACCTCAGCCCAAAGCAGGACCCCGGACCGTAGGTTGCGAGGGCGTCCAGGATAAACACCTGGACGGGACCGGAGAGATGGCAACTGATGGGGCCGCGTCGTGACGCTTCCGGGCTTCCTGGCTCCATTTCTTTGCCTTGACGGATTGGCTAGAGGCCCCAATTTAATCGAAAAACAACACCAAAACCAAAACAACACCAATGAGGCAAGAGATAGCACACAAGTTCAGAGCCGAAGCTGCAGGCCTGAACCCTGGTAGCCACAACCTCTTTGGCTCAGCCCCAAGTGGCAAGAGGCGAGAAAGTTGCTGATGTAAAAAGCCAGTCACAACCATCGAATATAAAAGACCCTTGCAAAACCCCAAAGAGCCCGTGTGAACAACGGAACCAGACAAAGTCCCTCTTACTTTGTTTAAAGTCTCTGGAGCAATGACCACGACCGCTCTGCAAGCCAACTCTACAAAATCAGCAAATGTCCCAAGACTCAAGAAGCACCTGGCTGCGGGGTTCCGTATTCCGGGGGTACCCAAGCCCTTCGCAAGGCGCCATCCTCTTGCCGCGTCAGTGGCTCAAGTCCCCTCCAGCGGCCCCACGGCACACGCCGACCGTCCCATTCACGCCTGGCCCCACTCATTGCACTCGTTCAGAGCGGCCAAGAGTTTGGGGATGTTGCCCTGGAGACGCGGCTGGGCAAGCGGCTGGGGCTCAGAGTCGTATCATGCCAAGAAACCTGCACGAGCTTGGTTCTTTTTGGTGGAGTAGCTTGGAGCACCTACTCGATGAACTAGACGCGATTATATATATATATATATATACATATACAATGCTCCTATATACAATGCTCTGCAAATGATCTTCAAGGGTATGACATAAAATTACCCTACTGGAAGCATCCCAACTTGTGGCAAAATCGTACTTGGATATCTACCATGCCCCTCCAATGGCCGTTCCTGTTTCCCGTTGACTATCGAGCGTTGAGAGCACTTCTGGAAGTGCGTAATCAAATCGCTCCCTAGCCGTTGACTCCACTGCCATAACCCATGCCCGCACAGTTGTACCGGCTTTGGGATGGTGCAATGCCTTTTGTTTTGCTGCTTCCACATGAAAGCTTGGAATCCAGGGCAATGACAGGGAGTGATAAAGCAACACGTTGTCTTGCACGTTGGGCGAGCATTAGGCCTCACAAACAAACACTCCCCCTACACCGATCCTGGTTGCCTGGTTCACTCCAGAACAGGAGGCATCTGGATCCCCTCAATGGCAGCGAGTACATAGCCGGAAAAGCAATGTCCTTCCCGCCGTGGCATGCGGCCATCAGCTCCAAACATTCGCTTTGCGCTGCCATCAATAAGAAGGGTCTAGGAGTGAAGAGGAAACCGCTCCGGCACCCGTCTTCGCAAGTTTCAGGAGTGACCTTGCGAACCGGGTGAAAGACGACCCCTACAGATAGTGCAGGTCTCCAGCCCAGGCGAGCAACGAGTGGCCCTCAGAACCCACGCCTTGTCCAAGTCCAAGAGGTCCCTACCGCAGGTCTGGGAGATCTCTGCCAGGCCCGCCACCGCATTGGCGACCACCTGGAACCAATCGGAGAAAATGGAAGTGGCCCCTCCTTTCGGGTCAAAGACCAAAGCATGGGTTCAGCGAGCTCGGCTCTTGGGTGGAGCGAACCATTTTGTTCAAGAGCCCCAAGGGTTGGACGGAAAGCCCCAGGTTTGGATGGGATTAGCCATGTTCAGAGGTCCCGTGAAGGAGACACCAGTAGCAAACCTCCCCGCCTGCTCGGACAAAGGTCTAAACCCCTAGCAAGTGACACATTGAACGTGCAAAAAGATCCCCAATTTGTTTTTGGGCTGGAACATTGTGCTTCTTGCCTTTCTTGTGCGCAGCGTCAATTGGGCTGGCCCAATGGCTAAACAACTGCCATGCCAAGAACCGCTTGCAATTGCACGCTTTGCAAACCTTGCCAATTGCTGTCCCTGACAGGCTAAATGGGGACCGAACTACGTCAATACTCGTCGAGAAAAACAGTGTGGCAACCAAACAG